TTTTGCCAATTTTCAAGAGAAGTTTCTACTGGTTACTTTAGAAGTTTTCTATGAACAGTCAGATGTCAGTTTACCTGGAAAGAAACAATGTAGTTCTTAATAAGAGACACAATTAATGCATGCAAGATTTCACAGCTGTAGCATCACTTCTTCATAGTCAGCCTATGAACTTTTCAGCTCTTGTAAAGATATTGAAAGAATGTTTATGAGTAGTGTTTTTCAATTGGTTGTGGAATATTTTTCATATTTTCTTCTGCTATTCATGTAAATTTTGGTGCATCTGACTGCAGGAATTTGAATAATTTGTTAAATATTTTTGTGAAGTATTTATGTAAGGATGTATGTGTTTATATATATATATATATATATATATATATATATATATATAAAAAGGCACCAGTGAACTCTACTTATTTTACTGTCTTTTTTTTATGTACAAATGACTTTTTTGTTATTATCTATCCTGTATTAAGTATTTTGCGCTTATGTTTTGTTGTAGGTATTTTGTAATTAACATTTTTACTATTTAATGCTTTAACACTTTCAAATGAAGGATGGGTCTATTTTCAGTGAATTTTATACTAGACTTTTGTTTTAAATTGATATAAACATATGTATTTTTAACCTTTAGCACTATGCATTATTAATATTACTTTCCTTTCCACTGTATTCTTTTTTAAGGCTTCTCAATTGCATTATCCTTATTGTTAATTTCACTCAAAGTTGTTTTCTGTTGCTATAGAAAGATCAACACAACAATGAAATTCAAACATTATTTTTCAGTGATCAGTCACCTTCAACTTTTTGTACAGCAAATGAAGTGTGATAATGGTTAAAAGAAAAAGTAGGTTATTATTGTTATTATTAAGAGCAGCACACCAATAAAGTAACATGGGAATACATATATATAAGGGCTGATATACCTATCATATCACACAGTATGATAAGGATATAGTAGACAAATGCATTACTGCCAAATGTGCATGATATGGTAAGAGGTTTTGAAAAAACAGTGCATAATGTTGCAGTTGGGACCCAGTTTAAAATATTTTCAGGTTACTCAGATGGTATCTGATTGATATTGTCCCCAATATCCAGAAATTGCCTTGGTTGCCTTATCCTTGACACACAGCTCCATTACTAATATTACTCATGAACCATGATGCTCAGTGCATCAGCTCTTAGGGGACCCACCCATCTGCTTATGGTCAAGCAACTGACAAGCAAACCTGTAGTACTGAATTAGATATACACTGTAGCCCATCTTAATTTTCTAAAACAATGTTAAAACTACCAATCAATTCAGAGCAGAAGTCATGAGAGCCCTGTTTAGTATAGCATTAGGATAATTTTGTTGTTGATATTAATACTTTTCCCTCTCCAAATTCATAAACTACCAACTTAATATTAGATACCATATATTGACAGTAGATGTGATCTTGGTAAGACTATGAAATAATTATTTTTACTAAAGTTATTTTATAACACGACACCCCTTGGTCAATCCTAGGTCACCTTGGTCAAACGATATGACCCTTTTCCACATGCTGCTAATACCAGAAGATGCCTTGGTCCTCAGGGTCATAGGACAATGAATTGATTGCAGAGTCAATCCCACCCTTAGTTGATACTGTCACTGGTCAACAGGTTGGTTGCTAGCTACCCTGGTCCACACCCTACTCTGCTCACGTTATGTTTCTTCATCATAGAGTTGGTGGGGATTGAGTATCATCAGTAATCATAGTGTTGGTTCAAATCACAGCAAAGCTGTTATGAAGTAAAAAAAATAAAAAAAATATAGAAATGTCCTTCGCAGACAAAATAAAAACAAAAAATTCTTTGGGTTAGTTTTCAATTTGGTTTATGCAATTCTTTGTATAACAAAACCTTTTCCACAAAAATCTCTTTAGTGACACTTTGCTTAACAGTACTAATTTTTCTTGGCAGCAAGCCTTGTGGATCTCAGTAGCACCTTTGTCTGCTCTTTGCTGCTGTCTCTCATCTCTCTCTCTCCCCCCCCCTGTCTGGGTCACTTAAGTCCTTTGCTTATCTTGACTTTGACTCAAGACTGGAATGGGGGCTGACAATGTTTAGAAATTTGGGGGGTTCCCCAGTTTTCTGTATTGATTTGAACAAGAGTTTTTTGTTGTCTGGTTTACAATATTAATTATCTCTCCAAATTTGCAAGATCCCTTCTTCCTATGGGTAGTGGTTGTAGGTATTAGCCTGCCTATACAACTCATTCCTTCTCTTATTTATGCTTCAGTAATTCCTCTGTCTCCCTTAGTATCTCATCTAAGCCTGCCACCTTGGATGTCTCTTTGACAAATCTGATTTTTAAACCACGTAGACCAAAAGGCAGTCTTAACTTTTAATCATCAGTTGTAATTATCTTAATTTTCAGCAACAGATTTTCTCAGCCCTTGGTCTTCTTTACACAATCAAAGATTTACCAGCTGTCTCTTTTGATCTGCTAATAACAAATATTTGTCTTCATATCTTGTTTACTTAATTGTATTTTGAAACTTATAGGTTTGTTTCCTATCTCAAAGAATCCTATTTCTTGATTTGTTTACATTTCCACCCTTTTATTATAACTCAGTTGACCCCTTCTTTCATCTGGCAATGATGAGACATCTTTTCATAACTCCCATAAATCAATTTCTCCATTTCTGCTTGTTTCCCAAATACTCAACTGACTTTGAATGTATTACCCCTATTCCTTCTAAGCAGTCATGGTTTGAAATATTCCACATGGCCCTTTGATAATATCTTTTGCCCAAACCAATAAAGTTGTTTTTACAGATTTGTCCTTTCTTCCTTCTTTCAGTATATGTTATTCCATACTGTTAACTCTTTTCATCCTTTCCAGTTCATATTCTAAATTAACCCTTTCCTTTTACAATTCTTTTTGTTTCATAAATTATTTTTGAAGAAATGAATATTTGTAATTAGTTTTTAAGTAAAAATTTTATACACTATAAGTTGAAAATTTGTTAATTAGAACCCTTCCTCTATTTTTTTTTTTAAATAAGGAATGAGACTTGGCGAATTCTATAAAACTGAAAATTCAAGCATAATGATCTTTAGTTATCATTATTATAAACTGGACTTTTGTATTCTCATTATTGTATGTAATATTTACCTTCTCATTATTATACATAAATGTCTAATATTTATAATTATAAAGCTTTTATATTTGCTGTAATTTTTATTATAAGTATGACTTTTATAAAAAAAAAAAAAAATGATGAAAACAAGTTGGTTCTTTGATTAATCCCATTAACATAAATAATATTAAATATTTTAAATGAACATGTAAGCAAAGCCTGTCTTTGATGACATTTTTCCTATTGTTGACAGTACAGTTATGAAGGTAGATATTGTTCTAACTTAAAGAAATAATAAACCATTGGTTAATTCAGTTAATTAAATCTCAAAAAATGATGTACAAATCAAAATTTGTCTATATTTCTGAGATGAGGTATTATGTACATTATTTACATTATTCGGACTATTGTCCTCATCTTTGTCACCATATCTATCACATGGCACGTGGAACTAGAACAGTCTACTCCAGTGAGCAAAATAAAGGGTTCAGTTTGAAATTCCAACCATTTGAAGAAGGCCGGAGCGTACAACAGCCAAAACGTTGTGATAGATATGGCGACAAAGATGAGGACAATAGTCTGAATAATGTAAATAATGTAAATCAAAATTTATATTAAGTAATGTACAATAAATTTGTTTATAAATTATATTTATTGTAAAACACTAGAACTTTATAAAATATTTCATTCAAATTTAAGTCACATATTAAATTTGCTTCTAAAATAGAACGAAAACACTATGTTACTACAATATTGCAGACAGTTTTTTTTTTTTTTATTAAAGTAACTTTATCCTAAATTATTGTATCAATTTTTTTTATTTTATTTTTTTTTATTAAAGTGACTTTCATTTTAAACTAATTAATTACCTGAGAGATGTGGGATTAAATTTCAAGTCTAAATTGAGTGTCCATTTAAAATACTACATTTATTAGAAAATAGATTCAGTTTAAATACAGAAGTCAGAAAAGAATAACTTGAAAGTGCTGCATAGACAAAAAGGGAAATTGGCTCTGGTAACACAAAAGATGTCTATTGCAATTTCATTCAGATGTGCATCCATATATATATATATATATATATATTTTCACTCAATGGTAGACCTAAAAATATCCCTACAAAATTTAGAAAAAAAACAAAAAAAACAAAAAAACATTAAATAATTCTGTTTATTAAGTTTATATAAAGTTTTTTTTTTATTGTTTTAAAAGTTAAGATTTATTTTTTTGATTTTTATTACTCTAACAAGGGTAAGGATTTCCAGGTTTAGTAGGAGGGTAATATATTATTCCCATCTTTTAATTCAAACTGTGTGTATCCATTAAATTGCACAAGTACATGCAAGTCACTCGTATACAACACAGACATATACACTTGCATGCAAAGTTGCATTGTGGTGGACAGAAAATCTGTTCTTTAAAAATATAGAAATATATATATTGTATAGAATTTTTTTTATTAAAGTAATTTTCATCCTAAATTATTTCATGCAACAGTAATTAACTTTTACAAGTTTTTCTTGCTGTTGTAATTTCATAGGAGGTACAATATTTTGAATGAAACTGCATTATGTTAATAAATTGTGTGTTAATGGCGTATTTCACAATTAAATTTTAATCTTGATAATATTTCTTTAAACAAATTGAATTAAAATCTTTATTTCAGGAGGTTTAGACATCTGTCTATTATTGAATTTTTTCATTCTAGCTGACCAAAGATGGTGTGAATACACGATTAATTCCTGCATTAGATGGGAGCTTGTACCAATATGATGGTGACAATTTGGAAGCTCTTCCTGTATCCTCTGAGACTCTTCTCAGTTCTACATTCCGTATTAATGATGATACCATGATGATAGGTGGGAAGGCCATAAGGAATTATGGGATTGATATGATTTCCGGACAGGTAACTTCAATTGCTTTTTTAAGATTTACCTGTGAACATTTCGTGGTTTTTCTATTTGAATTTTATAATGAATCTTAAGTTAAGAATTGAATAAGCACATGGCAAGTTCTATGACAATAAAATACCTGTAGAAATTCCCCTATTGAATTTATTAAATATTTGAGCTTAACAATTTTAACAAAATATTGCAATAAAAATTATAAATATGAATGCTTGTTGTTATTTTAAGGGGGGGGTACAAATGAAAGATTTGAAATTGACTTTTTTCATTTCACTGAAACAGACATTAAACACATAAGTGTTATAACCTCTTCTATCTTCTCTTTTTTCTTTCTTTCTTTCATTTTCTCACTGAAACCAAGTAGTGACTCTGTTTTTTAAATCTTTCCACATGAATACAGAATAGTCCATTATTTATGAGGTATTGGCAGGTCATAATGATTAGTACTAAGGGAAGGATAAGCAGAATTATAATATAATCTTTTAAGAAGATTATAAATCTAACTATATTCAAAGTTAAAACAAAAATAAAAGGGGAAAAACTGCTTCAAGTAATTATCTATTTTTAAAATTTTTGTTTTGTTCCTTAAAATCCTAATTTGATTGAAATGGCAATTTTAAAGATTGTTTACAGTTTAGAGTAATTTCTTTCACACACACATACACACACAAATATATATATATATATGTGAGAGTGAGAGAAACATTAAGAAATACACAAACCCAGTTGACCAGAACATATGAAGTTAATTATCTATTATAAAAAATTTAAAATGCCTAATCTGATCGTTAACGATAACAACTCATCAAGATCCAAACTATAGAGGATTAATATTAAATATGAATTTACATGACCCAAAAGGAACTGTGTTCCTGACAAAAACAAATTCATTATTGGTCATACCACTAAATGCTTATCAAGAAGACTTACTTTATATTTCTCAGATCATTGTTCCAGTAGGACCCTTTTAAACACACATAACAACCTCTGTCCACAAAATACTTGTGGAAAATATGAGCATAATAGCATCATCCACATGTAAAAATGGTTAAAAATAATGGAAGAATTAATAATAAAATTATTATCTGATATTATTTTCAAAACTTACTTTCATGAACATTTTTCCAAATGTCAATAACTTACACACACACACACACACACACACACACACACACACTGTATTTCTTGTATGATGATACATATTTTTTTCCTGAAAAATGCCCTCAAAAATCACCCTGCATCTTAACACTGAAAGATCAAGTTGTAGAAAGGAGTTTGCTAAACCTCACAAACCCCAATCATGAGATAAAGTAATCACAAGCCCCAGATATATAATATAAGCCTATTCATATGTAATAAATATCATGTATCCTGTGAATATCATATATATTGCTTTTTTTCAGGATTGATGATAGCCAGTAGGCAACTTCCTACTGGTACTATAAGTTTTTTGTTCATCTATGCATGCTGTATGGTATTTTCACAAACCCTAACCTCAGCCATATAATGCAGGCTGGCAGTTAGTATTAATAACCACAAATATTTAATAATAGGTCCAAAATGTGGTCATTTCTTTTGTGACAGAAAAAAATGACATCATAAATTCAACAACCTGGACTTGCTAGTATGGTTAACTATTAAATTCTCAAATATTTAAAAAAAATTATTGGGTGTCTTATCACTTGTAGCATATTAGCATATGGAAAATATGTATATTTCATTGGGTTGAATGTACTTTATTTTACTGGTATTTATTATAATAAAAAAATAATCACCATGCTACTATGAATGAAAAAACAAAAACTGAAGATATAAGCAGATAGAAATGTATATTTTTATCTTAGTCTTTAGTATATCTTAGTGATAGTTAAGTGCTGAGAAATCCATAGAATAATAATAACTGTTGTTTAACAAAGTTATTGAATATGTAAATTATACTTATCATAGTATATTTTTTGTATGGGTATGTGGCTGAGTGGTTAGAATGTTTGCTTTCTGACCATAAAACCCAGATTCAAATCTTACCAGGGTCAATTTGTCAGGAAGGTGACCTATCGATCTGGAGGAGGTGATTCCAGCATGTAGCACCTTTGGAAAGTACCTGAAAACCATACCACAGGTTGACCCAAGCCTTGTGAGTGAACTTGGGTAGATGGAACCCTTTGGAGCTGTTGATGGTTGTACTAGCACAAAGTCAAGTTATCGTGACTGAGGGTTTGAGTATGCTGGCCTTGTTTAGACTGTTGATTCTGCACACTCTCCTAGAAAATATAACTAAGGTCTGCTCAGCATAGTTGCAGTATAAACCACAGGTGGGCTCTGTGGGTGTTGAACAAACACAAATGTGCCTGAACAGGCATCTGCAATGGAAATGAGCCATCTTAGTAGACTGGCATCATCGGATATGAGAGGCTGCACCATTTATGTAGTATATATTTTTAAAATAGAAAATATTTTTACATTGTTTTCTGAATTTAACTATTTCATATGATTGTGTTATTAAAAAAAAATAAAAATTACATTTTAGAAATAATGTTGCTATATTCTGCTTTGCAATAAATTTTTGTATATTTTTTAGTGGTAGTTAAAATATTAATTTTCACATGTTGTAAAGTTTCCAACAGGATTACATTTACAAATTGTGATCCTACATAAATACATAGTACACTGAGTGTTTTTTATCAAGACAACATCTCTAGGAAGGTTGACATTCAAAGTTTAAAAAACCCTATCAAATACTTTATATATATATATATATATATATATATATAGTTTATTTGGGCAACAATCCCTCATACAGGTTTTGTTAAAAATGACTGTGATTAAACTTTTTATTTAATTTTTCTTTTGCTTGTACAAGTTTTTTTTTCTTTTCTGGGCACAAAGTGTGTAAAAACTGTCTAAAAGTTCTGCATATCCAAGTGCTTTCAGCTATTCTTTAATGGAGAGTAATATATATATATATATATATATATATATATATATATACACACACACATACACATATTGGCTCCTATAAGAAGCTCATCTGTCCTTTGACAGGTTTTGTGGAGTGACATACCAACCACCTGTCCATGTGGCAAGTTGTAAGCCTAAGCCTGACTTGTGTTAAATGGTCCAATCATAAAAAAAAAATAGGGAAAATTTCTTTTTGTGAATAATTTTTTATGAGTGAAGTATATTTCCTAATGTTAGGACAAATAAGAATATATTCCAAGGGAAATAACTCTTTCCTGTTTCAAACAGAGTACCTCCCTTTTGCCCCTGTCCAAACCACGCTAGTCATGGGCTCAACACGACATTGAGAGGCGAGATGCGCAAAACGCTACAGACTTGGAACATAGCTATCAAGGAATAAGGACACATATATATTCTCCTGTCCTAATGGTTGTGACACGCAACTCAGTAACTTGGGACCGTGATTTTGTATATACACATATATATATATATATATATATATATATATATATATATATATATATGTTATAAGGTTCTCCGTGTAAATAAATGATTATTTCAAGCCAACCGTGAGTAGCAATAATTTCCTTATCGCATTACACGTTTCTCCATGTGCCACACACACACACATATATTTAATCCACGGACCATGAACTAAAACTGCATACAAGGCATTTCATTTAATAGTTATGAGACAACAAACATGCCATTCATAAAACCTAAGAAGTACCCAAACTTCTTTCATGAAGCATTTTATATAGATGTTGAAGACTGAATAAAATATGCTAAAACTACTCTCCACGAACTGTTTTTCAGTTGATTTCTTTAAAACTTTTTAAATGTATTATATTTGATTAGGCTTATTTTAAAAGAAAGTTACCCTTTATTGAGACTTAAATTTTTCTTTTTCCAGCTTCGTTATGCTTGCTCAATGAGTGGATGTCAACGGTTTGGTCATACTGACACTATGACAGAAGAAGAAGAATTGATTGTCATTACAAGAAACACCCAAACAGTCAGAGCTGTAGATTCAAGAAATGGATTGGAAAAGTATTGTCATCAATCTTAATTCACGACCTTCTCTTTTGTTTCTGTCTAAATTTCTGGACTGAGGAGAATCTGTTTTTGCTGCATTTGTCTACATTACTTAATCAAATTAAACTAATCCTTATATATTCTGCTCATTAAAATAGGAGCTACTATTCACAAATTTGGTTTTGGAAGAAAGCTTAAAATTATCTCTTGTAGGGCTTTTTTTTTTTGTAAATTCCATTTTGACATAGCCTCTTCGGTACAGTGAATTATCAATAAATTGTATTCATAAAGTTCTATCTTTTAAAATATTGACGTGTTTAACCTTTAGAACTGTGTAGGTGACTATTTTCGCCAAGCAAAATATTAGTCCTGTCAATGTAAGTTGAATTAGAATTTCTTGGTTGTGTAATCATATCCTTCTATGGCAACACCTAAAACAATCTTGATTGAAATTGAGAGCCAGGTTACTGCAATTTCAAATATATAGAACTGATATATAAAACACTATATTTTGAGTATATATACAGTAAAAGGAGAAGTAATATTTATAAATGATGCAGAGTGCTAAATGTTATAAAGGAATTTAAAACAGCACTAATAGTAGAATTTTATTTTTTTGTAATTACCATATATACTTGAGTATTGTGTGAGTTTTTATGATCAGTTTTCTATGTAAAATATAGGAAGTTGCACTATTCTCAGATAATTTTTTAAGAGGTTAAAAGTACGCACTGTTGATGACTGGTTGCAATATACACAGATAAATTTTTTCTGGAAGGATCAGGGGTCACACTATACATGAAGTCAGCTTATGTTGTGCACACAATATTTTCCTTGGTGGTGGCAGTTGTATGATGTCCAGAACTTGGGTCCATTTAAATTAATATATTTATAAAAAAAATATATTCAGTTTAGATAAAGAAGGGATCATAAAAATATCTTGAAAGGGTTGGCTTATGCTTTTTTTTTTTGTTACCCAGGGATTGCTGTTAGAATTTAGCCTAAGGGACACAAATATCTATTTTAATTTCATCCAAAATGTGTGTATGCGTATGTTTGTGCATGTATATTTTAATTCAATGACAGACCTAATAAATATTTCTACAAAATAAAAATATTCTTTTAAAAAATAATTCTAATTATTACTGAATAATTTCTAAAAAATTCACTGTATATACTTGGGTATAGTGCTAGTTTTTATGATCAATTTTCTCTGCAAAAAATAAGGTGTTGTACTGTACACAGGTAATTTTTTTCTTGAAGTTAAAAAATGCATGCCTGTTTGGTGACTGGTTGCACTATGCACTGGTAATTTTTTTTTTTTTCTGGAAGGGTCATATATATATATATATATATATATATATATATATATATATATGGTATTTTATATATTTGTTTGTTTTTTCCTTTTGATTCTAACAGATGGAACTTCAGTGTTGGCAACCATGAGGTCAACTATGTTGGAGCAATGCCAAACAAAATGATGGAGCCTTCAGATGAAGATGATGTAGCTGTAGAATCTGAAATTGAAGATGACCCTTATCTCTCTTGCCCTGGTAAAAATAAAAAACAAAAATAATTTTTTATTTGATTTGATGATGATATAAAAATAATAATAAACTATAAGTTCTAGGCTAACAGTTTCTTTTCTTGCACTTCTGACTTGTGGAACTCTCTTCTGCATTCTTGCTTCCCAGTCAACTTTGATCTTCAAAAGTTTAGATGCAATGTCAATTGTTATCTAATGTCCTCTTAATTCTTGTTCTTTAATTGTTTTCTCTCCTTAATAGTCTTTTATTTTCTCATATTCTCTAACACTGTGTAAACCCTTGCATCTTAGTGGCTTTATTGCCTTGCTTAGGGTGAAATGATTAAAATAAAACATTTTTTGATTTCAATGAATGTGGATTTCTAATAGATTCACAAAAGTATTCATCATTGTCTGATGTTGGCTAAGTGATTTTTTTTTGTCTGTTGAGAGAAAAAAATATTGAACAATTTTTTTAATACTAATTGTTCAACCAATACAAAGCTCAAGAACCACTCAAAGTAGAGGGTTACTAAATGGGGTTGTTGCATGAGCATAAGAGGAGGAGATAAGAAGTGCAGTTTATGAGGATATGTAGGAAAGATAACGGTTAACCATAGACTTGAAGAGGCAAAGATTGTAGTGATGGGGGAAGCATTCTCTTGGGAGTTTTTTCCATAAAATTGTGATTGATACTATTAAAATAATAAAAATAAGTAATGAATTGTGTGTGTATTTAATTTTATAATTTTTCTCCTTGTAGCAGATATTGGTGAAATGAAAGAATCTTCTCTGAAAGTGATTGTGCCAGATGGTCTAGTTTTCTATGTAAACCCAGATAACCCAAATCATATTCTCTGGCAGCAGAAGGTAGATATTGATTTTCATGCTATGTAATCAACTTATTTATATTTGTTCATCAGGTTAAATATAGAATATCAACCAAGTTAGTAATCACACCTTGTTTTTTTTTTCTCAGAGGGAACAATATATTTTTGAGATTAAACTGTTTATTGTGGAATCAGTGAATAAATGTTGAATAAAGGATTTACAGATTCAAATCTTAACCAGTAATTAATTTAACCATGTAGCTAGATTAAAAACTTGCAAAATAATTTTGTTGTGTAATACAAGGGTTAGCTGAAAATTTCTTAGGCTGATCAATATACTCTTATGGAATGTGACCAAATGAAATTTATTTTTGTAGTTTACACACTTCTTTTGTTGCAGTGCTTGGATCCCATTGGTGAAGAAGCTTTTATCTTGAGATTCAAAAATGTCATCAGTAGCAGATAAGATGTCATTATCACTATGATACTAGTTCCCAGCCAAGTGTTTTTTTTGTATTGGGGAACAGATGATAATCAAGTGGGGCCAAATCAGGAGAATAGGGAGGGTGATCAACCAGTTTAAACCACCTGCAGACACAGCAGCCATTGGAACCAAGTACTTCTGTGCTAGAACATTGTCCTGATGAAACAAGAATCTTTTCATCAGTTTTCCTGGGTGTTTGTTCTTGGTAGCCTTTTGCAACTGCCTCAGCAAGTTGGCATTGTACTCTTCATTGATGGTGTGGCCCTTTTGAAGACAGTCAATAAACACAATGCCTTTTACATCCCAAAAAACTGAGGCCATCACCTTCCCTGCAGATTAAACGACCTTGGCCTTCTTTGGAACAAGTTCATTGTGCAGAATATTCTCAGCTTTCTCATTGGATATAATATTGGCTATTTGATTATAGTCATCCATCACCATGTCATGAACACAATCAATGTTTTCCTTGGTGGTAGCAGTTGCAGGATGTCCATACCTTAGGTTCATTTAAATTACATTTAAAAAAAAATATATATTCATTTTAAATAAAGAAGGGGTCATAAAAATGTCTTGAAAGGGTTGGTTTATACTCTTTTCCTCTTACCCAGGGATTGCTGCTAGAATTTAGCCTAAGAGACACAGATATCTATTTTAATTTCATCCAAAATGTGTGTACATGTATGTTTGTGCATGCATATTTTAATTCAATGACAGAGCTAATAAATATTTTTACAAAATAAAAATATTCTTTTAAAAAATAATTCTAATTATTACTGAATAATTTCCAAAAGGTTTACTGTATGTACTTGAGTATAGTGTTAGTTTTTATGATCAGTTTTTTATACAAAGAAAAAAAATGTGTTGCACTATACACAGGTAATTTTTTTTTTTTTTTGAAGAGGTTAAAAAACATGCATTTTTGGTGACCAGTCGTACTATATGCAGGTAAATTTTTTCTAGAGGGGTTAAAATGCATGCAAAAAAATTTCAATGGTTGCACTATACATGAGGCTTATACATGAGTATATGTGATAACTAAATCTTAAAATTATGTTAGTTTTTAAAAATTAATTTTTTTTGTTTCCAACTTTGATTTTATTGCTTGGCTCATGATAAGGCCTGTCCAAAATGATTATTCAATGTATTATTTCAAGTTTAGTCAAATTGTGTTTCTGTATGTATGCTTGGGTATACATTAAGTGGCACATGCACATTGAAGTCATACACAATACATATATGCATATACATTACATACATGTAGTGTGTGACAGAGAATCAGCTCTTTTATAGTAGTGATTAAGGTGGCTACTCTAAAGTCATGAAATGACCCCACTCTCCTTATGATGTACAAAAATATGATGTTGGATAAATAAGTCTCTAGTCTGTGAATTATTAATTGAATTTTGATCTGATATTTTCACTGTATGTGATTAATATTCAACATTAAATTAGTGCAAATTATTGACAATGGAGATTATGGTAAAAAAAATAGATATTTGTTTCTGTCTGAATTTCTGGGATTATCTTTATTTATATTCAGAATAAAATCTCCATCTTTGTTGTTGTTATTATCACAACATTTCAGCTGTTGTACACTCCAGCCTTCTTCAGATGAGTATCCATTTGGGTAACCATCTGGGAATTTTGAATTGAATCCTTTATTTAATCTATGGAAGTAGATTGTTGTTCTGTTGTCCACATCTATAGGTACCTTGTCTTGTTTTTTTGTTTTTTTAATATTGCTCAGATTAGTTTTTTTAGTATTGTTTGATCTGTTTCCACTGAGTCTGTACTTCCCAGTCCCATGGCCATTTACAAATACATTTTAACTGGATGTCTTATACTGTTTGTTTTTTTTTTTTTGTATAGCTTAGTTCCCCAGTTGCAAATGCATGGCTCTTCCACCACAACAGATTGAAACCAATCAGTTTATTCAGTCGAGTACATATTCCTACCATATCAGGGAGAATCAATCCAGTTATGTATATTGGTAAGTTATTTTTCTTATTAGCGTGAAGATTTTAAGTGCTTTTCAAACAGCCAGCTCATTTTTCTTTTCTTTTCTTTTTCAAATTAGAATTCAGAAATAGTTTAAAAAATATTTTTGTCCTTATTTAGAAAATAACCATTTTTTTTCTTGACATTTTAAGTAACAAACTAATTGGAAAAGATTTTCCCCTTTCGCTTACTATATTGTAATTGAACAAAAAATACATTTTTTTTTCATAAATTTGAAAAATTGTTTTATTTCTTCAAATCTCGTATTCTTGATACATTTAACAATATTTATTGATTGATTTGTTTTTTTACAGCTTATCAACCTTTTGCATGTTATTTAAAGCCAGAAAATATTTTTAGATTGTAAGAATTTTTATTTTATTTTATTATTTTTTTTTATTTTTTTGAGATAATGATTTAGTGATACAAGGCCTACTAATTAATTACAATTAATAGCTGAAGGGAGAAGAAGTGGATTTATACCTTTCCCAAGTGTATTTGTGTGTAAGTGAATATAATAAACCTGATTGGAATTTCCAATTCTGAGCTATTATCCGTTACACCATTCACACACCAAAGCTTACAGTACCTGCTATTCCTAAGTGTTCACCCATCTAGGTACTGATCAGGTTTGATGTTATTTAACTTTGGCGATCATATAAATGTTTCAACGTGATAAGCTGTCAGTAGATGTATGAGGGACTATGTTCAAATTCTGTACATACCCAATTTTTTTTTTTTTTTTTTTTTTAAACATAATACTAAAAGAAATCAAAATCTGAAAACATTTTTCAATTTAATGCATTTTTGATGAATTGCTGCCCTATGTGATTTTGACCCTCTGGTTTCAGCAAAAATATTATGGGAGAAGACTACATCAATTATGACTTATGTAAGTAAGAATTTACAGATTAGAAAAGGTGTTACTGAGGAAACTGAATCTAAGCATGTCCTATTTCATCTTCTTTGCTAGTCACATCCTGTAGAGGTATTCAATCAATCAAATCTGACTGTGTTAGCAAGTATTGAAAAACAGTTTGAGTTCTGGAAGAAGTTGGAAACTATCAACCCTGCTGTTCAATCATTCCTTTGAGGTACATCTAGTGTTGTTGTGTGTGGAATCAAATCAATCTTGAGTTTTGTTAGCCATGATAAGTCTGCAAATAGTACCAACCAAACTGACCTGTTTGATCATATCCTGCAGCAAGAAGGTCAAGTTAAGCATACTGCCATATACTTTGAGTGCAGGTTTACTAAACTGGGATATTCCACTGCTTCAATCCTCTAGTCATTACTTTATTTGTGCATGCTTTTGGATGAATCCCACTTAAGCAACTGACATACTGAAATTGTGTGAATGTTTCTGAACTCAGAATTTCTAATATCAGAACTGAGTGTCCTTACATATTTCACACATGCTGTCAATTTGCCATTTCTTTATTTTGTCGAAGTTCAAGAGGAATTCCTTCATATGCTCCCTCTTCTGTACAAGGATCTCAAAGATGGGAAGATGGATACTCTCAAAGATTAAGTTATTAATTACCCTCATGTCAAGTTTCATGAACCAACCACAGAAATAGTGCATCAAATTTTTAAAATGATGTGTATTGATTCTGCTGCTGAAGTGCTGGGAAGACAAACAGGAAGGGAAGATGGCTTTGGTGACCACACAGATAAACCTGCTCATGCAACTCAGTTACATCTCCTGACAAAAGAGAAGTGAGCTGGTTTGCCAACAAATAACCTTGATTCAGAATTTATGTGCACTTCTTTCAGGCAATGATCCCATGTTCAAATATGTTATATTGACATCTAACAAGGATGCAGAACAGTTTCTTCCTTCATTCCAAACCAGTTCTTCCACTGAGGATGACTAGAATGATATTGTAGTTGGGATGAATTATGTCACCTTGATTACTGAAGGTGATGTGGACACATGGTACTTAGCAGCCTGCATTGAGAAACATTCTGATGGCACATACACAATGGAATATTTTCATAGACTTCAGAAGTCATCTCATCTGAAATGGAAACATGGCAAAACCAGACAGAAACATCTTGAAACCTGAATCCATTGTTGTATGTGATATTGATAGTGAATGGAACATTTCCAGAGAACAGAACATGAAATACACATTTAGAAATCATTTGTACATAAACAAACTGGTAGAGGGCTTCTTAAAATAGGTATTCAGTTTTGTGATGTGATCAAGTTTGCTTAAAGTTGACTTTTCAATTTTATCATATTCATAACTTGTTTCTCTCCCTATTTTGAATTTAGCCCTACCCCCAGCCTCCAGTCATATTATTACCAATAAGTTTATAAGGACCTCATGTTACACCTTCAAGTAGTATTTGAATCTTTGGTGTTTAATTGGGACGATATGTTCTGGCTAATATGTCATGTACAAATAAAATTGTTCAGGGATTTTCATGGTTTGTGAGTTTTCAGTACTCATTCTATTTTATTTTGATTGTTTTAGATTTTGGACTGAAATGGGATCTTATCCCACATTCTTGAACATAATGAATATCATCGTTCAGTAGTTGGATAAAGTTAACAAATTTCTGGGGATCTCTGAGGATTTTAGATTAGCATTTTCCCAAATGGTTTCCAAATTACTATAATTTTGGTGTTTTGGCTCCTAAAATGCTCATTTCGGACCCTTTTTGGCTGTTTTCCAATGAGGAAAAACCTAAATCTTTAATCTTATACAGTTGTGCTATTCATCATAATTATATTGCACAACAGAAAAACATATGATTCTTGTTGACTGACACATGAAATTTCTCAGACTATCAAACATTCAGATTTTCAGCAGAATTAATGGTCCAAAATAAGCATGTTCAGTTTTAAGGGCAGCAATTCGTCAAAAATGCCCCAAATCATTATTTTTTCTTTGGATTCTGATTAGTATTATAGAAATGTTAAAAAAGAAATGGATATGTACCAAATCTGAAGATAGAGGTAAAAATTGATATCATACTCCCTACCCCTACCACAATATATTAATGTTTAAAAAAAAAAAAAGAAAAGAGAATGAGAAACATATTAATGTTTCAGAATCCACTTTATTATATATTATCATTGTGTGTTGTTTTATTAATTCTGTAGAATTCCCTTTGGCCTATAGGGCCACAGCCTCACTACACTAGGTGTTTTGTTGTGGTTTTTGTAGCAAATAGGATTTGTACAGGTTGGAGTTGCTAGCCTCTTACTCAGCCAGTTTCAAATTCAGAGTTGTCCTTCTAGATGGGTTGCCAACCAAAGCTAGGTATTTAGTCTGCTCTGCTGTCAATCATACCTTTTCAAATGTATTTGTGTGAAAGTGAATGCAACAGCCTCAGCTGGTATTTGAACTTTGCACGCCAATACCATTTTTCCAGGTTGATAACCACAATGCTACATGCACATCCATTTATCACTATATGCTTGTTAATTTTTTTGTTGAACAAGAGAGTAGGTCACATGTTATTTGGGCTCACATTCATTTTGTTCCAGGCTTGAATATTCAATTTACTGGATTTATGAAGTTATTTTTCCTATTAATATTGAAAATACACTTTATTTTGCTAAATTTTTGTTGGATATTTAATTTTTTTTTACTGAATAGGAAGATGGATAAGAAGAGGTTGTTTCTTAACATCAAGAAAAATTAATCTTTATTGCAAAAGAAATGAAAAGAAATATTTTTATGACTCTATTAAAATCTATTTAATTCAACAGTTATGACATTTTTTTCTGCAAGATCAAAAGTACTTAATCATCTGAATTACAATTAATCACCTTTTCATCTACTCTCTTGATGTTACTATTAAGTTTTATTACTTGAGTGGAAAAGGTTAGAATGGTAAATACTTTTTATATTTCTTTTTATTATTGAATTTATTACATTTTAGGACATCACCAAAATCAAATGTATGTACAAGTGTCAAGTCATGTCACCAATGAAATAATTGATGGATCAACTTTAGGAAAAATACCATCTGTTTATTGGAAACCTTACCTTGCTTCATGTGAGTATACTTTCAAAAGATTCATCAACAAGAAAAAATATTTTTTTCACCTTATATTACATTATTTTATTAGAATCAATTCTATCTTTAGTAACACTTTCATTTGAATAGCTAAAATGGCTTATACTTAGACAGCATCAGAAAAAAATTGAAAAAAATAAGCAGTAAATATATACACCTACGAAACTAGATTCAGGATGCTGAGGGTAACATCAGTCAGCTAAGTGTCAAACTTTTATTCATGTTATATATAATATATATATATATATATATATATATATATATATATATATATAGTAGATAAGTTGGACAATAAAACAAATCAGTATGAAAAATATTTATTAATATTAACCACATGACAAAAATGAAGCTTGGTGATTGAGTTTCCAAGTTTGGAATTTTTGAACACGCCTGTGTTTTTCATCAGTGGATGCAAGAAATAAACAGAGGGACGGTAGTGACTATTCAACATTAGTTTTTGAGGTAGGTAGAGTCCGCTTGTAGGTGGAATTGTTAGAAAACATCTGTTCCCTGTCTGATTTCTCGCCTTGTGAAACTTTGTGAAAATAACCTTATATTTAAAAATAGTGAATGGTTGTGGATGGTAGGGGAGTGTGATATTTGAACATAGGGGAAAAAGGGTTATTGGACCAGTGTTGGGGATGGTATTAATGTTGAAAGATTTTGTGAATTAGGGACAATGTGGGAACATAGCAAGATTATCAATAAATGTAAAATGAAAGAGGGGAAAAAAAGAGAGAGGAAAGTAAAAGCACAAAAAAAGGGATAAAGAATTCTTTTAGGAAAATCATTATTAGACAATGTGGGGGGTGCTGAAAAATAAACTGAAATAAAATAATATATATATATATAGATAGATAGAGACAAATATATATAGTCTGCATGAAGGTATGCAAATCACAAACCTCAATAATTCAAATTTGCTTTGAAACTTTCTTGTCAAATTTTTTACAATTTACATGGAAAAACAAAGTGTGGGTTAAATTTTTTAGGTAGTTTCGGTTTTATTAAAGTTATTAGATTCAGAAAAACTGCAGTGTGAAGCTATTATGCAGATTAAACTAATATTTGTTTATGGCCTCAGAAATCTAATAAAAAAAACTTTCTTTTTTCCATAATATATATTGAATCCTTGGATAATGGAAAAGATCTAACAGATGCTGAAAAATCAGAAAATAACAAAGTTATTGAGTGAGGGCATGTTCAGTTTGGAGAGCTCAAATGATAGAAGCAAAAGAAAAGGCTTTAAGAACTTGTCTCCTCAAGAGGAATGTAAAGAAAAGTGAGTTATATTGAAACAACCACTTTTGACCAGTGATCAGATCTTTGAACAGATTTGAATTGAGAGAGACAATAAAGAGAAAAGGTGAAGAATACTTCACAAATTGGGATCTGTCAAGAAATCTAGGCAAACTCCTCTCATTAAAAGAAATATTTTAAAGTGTTAAAATTGGGCCAAGAAGTAATTTTCATAGATGAATCTCAGGTGATGCATGACATACATACATACATATATATATATATATATATATATACTCTTAAGGTGTGCTATATTTATGGGATAAAGTGCTCAATATCAGAGATAGAGCGTGTGTAAATACAAATATAAAAGTGTGTCGCCTCTAAGTGTTGACTTCAATCTTCACTTTTATATATATATATATATATATATATATAATACACACATGAAGGGGTGCTGAAAATGTTAATCGTTTGTATCTTACATTATTTCATTGTCATTCATCAATATATTTGGGGTTGGTTATTTAATGCCAATTGTACAACAAATGTCTAAAGGAATTTGAAATTCTGTACTCAGCTGTTGTATTTTATGCTATTTTTAATTCAAAATATTGAGTTAGAAAATTTGAAATGTGTTGTTTTTCCCTATATCTTGATAATTTAAAATTTTTATGCATTATAATTCACACAAGATATGTAGCATTTCTTGTGAGTTATAATACATAAAAATTTAAAATTATCAAAAGATAAAGATGCACCTTAATTTTGACTTGTAAAATGTATTTTTTTGTGGTGGAGGAAAAAACATTTAAGTAAAATCGAAATGTAGCCTGTGGTTGGTGCAAAATTGTAGTAGGGCTTTAAAAACAGACATTTTAAAAGTGTATATAAATGTATACAAAAATATATAAAAGAAAGGGTGAAGGGAGGAAGATCATGGCTCAGAAGAAAATATTTTTTAAAATTCCTAAGCATATTATTGTGAGGAATTTATTTTTGCTTTTTCTTCTCACTTTGTTTTATATATTTTTGCATATATTTATATATACTTTTAAAGGATCTGTATTTAAAGCCCTAACAAAAATGTAACCTTTGTCTTATAAGAAATGATATAAATGTAAGTGACTTATTTTAGGAGAAAATATTGTTTTTGATGTTAGGAAACACGTCAATTCAAATCTTTATGTATTACTATGATTCACCATAAATAAGCTTATTTTTTTAATTTGTATTCTTTTTATTTTTCCTTTATTCTCTTCAGCTTGTTCTCGGACCCCTACTCTTAGGCCCAACAAGAATAATGGAGTCCCTTTGATTGGAAGGAAAACATTCAAGCGAAAAGAGCTCCAAAACACAGCTGTTGCTGTTCGGCAACAGAGTTATCCCTTTGGTTAGTTAAAACATTTTTTCATTCAATTACTTTGAAAGTTTTACTTCTGGCTATCTACATTGATAAAAAAAAAGACAAAATCCTTCACACAATCCCAAATTAAGAGATGAAATCATCACAATCTTTTTAACTGTTTTTTAAAACAGTTACTACTCACAAGTAATGAGAATTATAATAATTTAAAAATATTTTTATGCATATAAAATATTATGTAATATGCATATTTTAAAAGTATAACATTATCAGAAAATAAGAGTGATGACTATAGTAAATTTAAAGTCAACATTCCTAAAGTTAGATTGTGGATAATATTTTCCAGAATTTTTAAGATTACTGAGTACTTGAAAGAAATATGTAAAAAAGACATTTTCTTCTGTCATTTTCTTAAATTATGTTTTACAGATAAAGTCTCAGTAGAACAACAATAAATCTGTCATTGCTTGTTAATCACTTAAATGATAACTTTTTGGTTAAAAACACAGTTACTGTTTTAAAATCTTCAGCTATTGTAAATTAGTAGAGGTCCCTATTTTAGCATGATCATGGAACTGTTAAGATTTGTAAAGAAAGAGCACACTAAAAAGATAATTACATTTTCCAAACTGAATGAATGTCTAAGAATTTTGTCAGTAAAACCCAAACATGCACAAATTGCTGCAAAGATTGAGTGTGGATTTCTGGCACATACGGCTATGCAAAATTTATCCAAAAAGAAAATGTGCCAACAAAGGATTTGTTTACATGCAGAATTGTAACAAAGATAGTGTTCATCACCATCATTGAGAAACATCTGCTAAAGTCTCCCATTAGATACCCTCTTTAAGGTCACCTGCATGGCTGAACTCTGGATGCATTTGTGAAAAAAAAAAATATGCCACAGAAGACAGTATAAAAAGATATCTGGAAGGCTGATTGTGATGACATCAGTCAGTACAATGAGTTCAAGGAGGAGGCTACTGAAAATATTGCTTTCAAGAATTTCAGCAAGCATGAAGAACGTTTGTTCTACTCTTCTTTGTCTAGCCACAATGAATATCAAAAACTGGAAAGTTGTTCATAGATTGCTGGTACTCTCTCACGGACAAGCCTCAGTGGAGAGAGGTTTCTCAGTCAATAAAGAAATTTCCACTGACAATATCAAACAGCAGACTCTGGTTGTACAGTGCGTTATAACTATTTGGCCACAGTTGAAGGTGCTGGAAATGTCCCATGACTAAGGCTCTTCTCTGCAGTGCTTCCAATGCCAGAACAGTGTCCAACTAATACCTTGAGGCTGAGAAGAAAAAAGGTAGGAAGAAGCAGCTGGACAAAAATGGAAATCCATGCTTATGGAAATTGAATACAAGCTTGAAAGTTGTACACAAGATTTGCTCAAGTTGGCTAACAGCTATGTGGAGAAAGCTGAGCAGACTCAGAACTTCACACTTGTTGTAAATTCCAATACCATGTGAAGATCTGCAAAGGACAAATCCATAGAGATATCAAAATTGGAAGAGGAACTGACTGCTAAATTAGATGAACTGAAAAAATGTTAACATCATTGTGTTCTGTGCCATGTGCAACAAAAGCCATGAGTAATAAGGTTAGCTAAAATGTGTAGTGTTTTTGTGAGAATTTCTATTTGTAGTTCTGTTCATTAAAATTATTATACTTAACTTCACAGGAAACATGCATCAGTCAAAAATTTTTGTGACATTCATAAACCATGAGTAGTCTAGATAGCTGAAATGTGTAGCAATAAGAATTAAAATTTGTAATTCAAAAGTTCCAAGTGTAGTAGAACTCCAAACCGTAGTTGTTACACAAAATGTGTAATGTAACCAGGTCTGCATTTAGATGTGTTTTAGCCTTCAACAATTTGTTTTTTTCACTGCTTTCATGTGATATGGAACCAGCTGTAGCCTATCTTTAAACATCTCATCTGCCAAACTATTAAAAGATAAATGACAAAGTTTGTGTTTTTTTGCAATTGATGACCATTCATTTCATGTGTGTGTATACACCAGTATCCGTCCTTAAACTTATTAACATAGTCTTGGAAAAGTCCTAAAATTTTTTACACAATTTTTTGGGAACAATGTGTGTGATATATATATATATATATATATATATATATATATATATATATATATATATGCTCTATTTAAAATTTTTTAAGACCTTTTTTAATAATTTAAAAATAGCATTTTGGATTTATTTACTCACAAACAGCGCTGTTTTGCACTTTGTAATTTTTCAAAATGGGTACCTATTTATTTTCAAAATGGTCCTGAGATTCTTTTCATGTTTTTAAAAAGACATAAATTTCAATCAATGCATGGGAAAAAAACTGGAAATTATAAAATGTAAGAATGTGTGTAATTTAATAAAAAGAAAGAATTAAAATCTTTCAAACTATTGTCATGCTTATGCATCCCTTTTGAAGAATTTTAAAATAACAATAGATCTTGTTAGTGCTGATAATAAACAGGCATCCTTTTTTGAAAAACTGCTGAGTGTGAAGCATTGCTGTTAATGGGTAAATAATTCAGAAATATTATTTTTATATAAATTTTTATAGTCTTGTTTACTTAAAAACAAAATAATGTAAACTTGAATTATATTAAACAAAGCTCAGCTAGATAACTATACAAAGTGCTGCCGAAAAGCTATCTGGCCCCGCCTCACAAATTTTGTGAAGTGGGCCAGTTTAACACATCCACTGTTGTGGACATACTTATAAATCTTTATGAAACACATTGCCTGCTGTTAACATATATATATATATATATATGCACACACACACACATACATACAGTGAAGTGTTGGTCTCTAGTGATTGTGTTATAAACTAATAGTAGCGTACAACATAACCTGTTTTGTGACTTTTATTATATGGTTGTGTTGAAAGTGTTGTTTAACTTAAGTTTGTACTGCAGAGTATCGAATTGAAGCCAAAATTAGAAATTTATAATTGAAGCCAAAATTAGACATTTTATAATCATTTATTTCCAGTAAATGTAAATTTCTATTTTGCCTAAAACAGGCCAGTACAGCCAATCAAAAATGTTATAACAATGCAGCAGGGAGATTATTAATTCAGTTCATCCTTTAGTAACCAAATTAGCTTTACTGAGCCTTTCATGTCAATTGATTTCCCCTTATGGTACACTATATCAATCTACTTTTTTTTTTTACTTATGTTATCATTATAATCATTGTAGTAGTAGTGGTATTAATAGTATGAGATTTGCAGAAAATACCTGTAACACGCTGGTTGTAACCCTTGATATCAAGAAATGCCCTGACCTTCTCCCTTTCATAAGGATGCACAGTATTATAAACAAATCTCAGATGTCAAAGAAAACCTGATTTGACTGTTATCTGAGTTAATTCAGAACTAATTAACACCTCCAATATTATCAAAAAATGACTTTTTTTTTAAAGTTATTACTAGCTGAGATTTATCAGTCTAGTCCAGATTAAATATTGCAGTTGTATTTTTGTATTAATGTGTAAATAATTACAACAATATGAAATTTTTCTTAGTAGAAATTATTTCTTTTTTTCTTTTTTAATATATGAAATTTGTAGAAATCAGGAGGAAGAGTAAATAAAAAGCTTGGAAAAAATTTTATACGATAAAATTAAAATGTAAAAGGGTGAAGGTAATAAAATGTGGTTAAGTTCTAATATTTGACCCAGTATTAACTTGTGTTAATAGATAATATTATCAAGTACATCACATATTATAGATAAGATGTGTTATTAAATTAAATGATTACTAAAATAAAAACAGTAAATTAAGTCACTATCTACAGCTCACTTTTTTCACCCTTGGAATATTGAAGCTACTGGTTTCAAATTTATGACAAATTTTTAAAATGATTTGAAATTTTAACTAATTAAATTATTCCAGTTTATCCATCAGCTTTTTCTCTCTAGATTTTCTTGTAAAAAGAAAAAAAAGAATTAGTATTTTAAAATAAAAAATCATGATACTGGAGCGGCTTAGTCAATACTATTGATTATGTATTTATAGTTGTTTGCACTTTTATTGTTTTTGTGTATGTCTAAGTTTCTTTCTTTGTTGATAAAGCTTTCATCTAACAACTGTCCTTGTAAAAGTCTTGTCTGATTAAATTGCTATCTTAGTTAAATATAAAGATTGGCTGGGTCAGGGTAGACTTCAACTACAAAACCTGCTTGGACTGTGTACTAAAAGCATTAGCTCATAAAAAGTTCTGAACATTTCCCTTGTATACATTTATAAAGAGAAAAAGAATTATATATACATTTTATTTAAGAAATAGAAATTCTTGTTAGTCTGAAGCAACATTTTTCTTTGTTAAGTATTATCAAAAATTGCTTACATGACTGAATGCATGTTAACTTTTACTCAATGTTTATAACTTAGACTGTAATTGTCCTTAATGACTATGCTGTATTTACAGTTTTCATGAAATTATCAATATTTTAATTCTGAAAAAATTGTCAAATTAAAAAATAAAATGACAGGAAATATTAGATAAGAAAAAAAATGGCCTTATATATATATATATATATATATATATATATATATATATATATATATAAGTTGTAACCTCTGTCTGTCAGCGAAATCCTCTTGGGGTTTTGGAGATAGACTCCCATAAACAGATATTTTCTGAAACTACATTACCAAGTGAAATTGGATAAGTATATTTCATTTTATATATATATATATTATATATATAAAAGGCAGGATGTGTGTGTGTGTAACGAATGCACGGCCGCAATTTTCGACAGATTTGCACCAAAATTTATGTGCACATGCTCCAAAAGAGTGGGAAGGCCAAGACTGACTTTGCATTTCCCAACTCCCATCAATAGTGGAAATAATCAATTTTTTTCATGCTTCTATGGCAGTTTTCATGTAGTTTGCGGTCATGTACTGGCCAGAGTGAGAGCCAATAGCTGACTGCCACGAATAGGCAGGAAGATTCTATTGGCCAGCGTGAGGGCCAACAGCTGAATGACACGAATGTTAACTAGCATGCAAAAAAAATCGATAGCTGCATTCGTCACAAGTGGGGAAAAATTTGAATCTGCATGGCACTTTACTCCAATTGGCTCATTCGCTTGCTTAAATTCAACGTTGATTCTGATTCCACAGAACTGGGTTGGGTGTGAAAAAGTATTTGTTGTTAACATTCTTTTTTCATTCGGTTTTTCCAGTTATGAGTCCTTTTTTAAAGCTGATCGTTTTGTGTTCATTTTGTTTAGTTCATTTTTCATAACAGATTTAATGTTTAGTATAGAGCTTAGAAAAAATTCGCAGTGTGAGATAGGCAAGAAGTAAGGCATGTAGCAACATCAGCATGGCAAAGGGCACTCCTTTAAAGGCAAGGAAGGGCAAAAATATTTTAAGTCAAGTGATAGCGATTGCTGTATGAGTCGTACAATTTTTGAATCAAGCACGGGCAACGCCGGGCCATGCTGCTAGTAGGTATATGTATGTATGTGTGTGTGTATATTTTTCATACTGTCGGATCTATATCCATATATTTGCTTACATATATTCATATGTATGTATGCATGCATGTATGTATATATATATATGAAAGAAAAATACAGAAAAGCAAAATTCTGAATATGCATTATTAATGTTAAAATAAAAAGACGGCGGACAAAGAACCCAACTAATCTATTTATGTCCATCTTCATTTTGTGTTAAATTGTTTAAACATAATTTAATTATGTTTAAACAAATTAACATGAAGATGGTCTTAAACAGACCAAACGTCCACGTAATTTTATTTTAACATTAATAATGCATATTCAGAATTTTGTTTTTCTGTATTTTTCTTTCATACTGTCGGATTTATATCCATATATTTGCTTACATATATATATATATATGTATGTATGTATTACACATTATGAAATGGACAAATTCCACCAAATTTTTTAAAGACATTTTTTATGTTTATAAGTTCTTTTTATAGATACAAATATTTAAGTAAATGCTCTGTTTATAATAAACAATATTAACAATATTTACTGGCCTAAATGTCTGAGAAATTTTCATAGAAAATATGCGTCCTCCAACAGAAATCGAACCTGTATCCTATACATAACCATCATATAGCCTGACATGCCTTAACCGATTGGGCCACAGAGGAGCGTTCGGTTAGCAAGGTCGATTTTACTGTTTTTAAACACAATTCTCTATGATTTTTCTCTCATACATTCATATCTGCTCAATGCGTATCCAAATGTAAACAAATGACATCACACATTATGAAATGGACAAAGTCTGACAATTATTTTTAAGACATTTTTAAATATTTTTAAGTCATTTGTTTACATTTGGGGAGTGGAGTTTGTAATAAAATTTGATCTTGTTGCACATCTTGAGCGTCCTCAAGGCAAAATTGATAAAATCATGACTATTCATATGCTACTGCCAGGAAACAGATTCATTACATTAATCTTTGTGTCTATGGTCCAACCATGTCCAATAGTGAGGAAATGATAATTTCTTTCTACGAAGACCTCCATTTAATGCTCTCAAAAATTCCTCGGGCTGATAAAATTCTCTTTTTGGGGGATTTTAATGTGAGGGTGGGAACAAATCATGAATCGTGGAACCCTGTAGGTCGTTTTGGACTTGGTAAGGTAAATAGCAATGGTTTTCATCTTCTCCAGCTATGCATGAACCTCAATCTTGCTATATGCAATACTTTCTTTCAACAAAAAGAGATCCATAAGGTAACCTGGATTCACCCAAGGTCTTGCTACGGTCACATCATTGATTACATAATTTGCTGTCAACGTGACCTTCAACATATTTGCAATGTATGAGTAATGAGGGGAACAGAATGTGGTACTGATCACTATCTTGTAAGGGGGAAAACTGAAAATGCATATAAGGTGGCAAGTTCATTCTGCAGGGACAAAAATCCCCAAACGGGTTGATGTGAATAAGTTGAAGGATCCGGTGGTACGGGAAGAGCTTCAAAATTTGTGGAAGACTCTCAGTTTGATGGTTCTAGGGAAGATTTTCAAAAGGCCATATACAACATTAGTGTTGATGTCTTGGGTTTAAGAAAAAAGTAACATCAAGATGGTTCGATGAAAATAATTTCAAAATCAACCAGCTTCTTAAAACCAAAAATGATCTTTATCAGAAGACGTTGAGTGTATCTGACAGTGATCCTCAATCATTTTGCCAGTCCTTTAAGGCCTGTAGGTTATCTCTTCAACGCCAATTAAAGAATCAATGGTGGCATGATATTTCCAAACAAATTCAGGATGTCTACAATCGTAAAGACTCCAAGGTAATATATGGCCTTATAAGAAAGGCTTTTGGGCCTCAGTCAACATCTGTAACTCCACTGAAAACTAAGGATGGAACTAATCTCCTTAAAGATTCCAAAAACATATCACAGTGTTGGACTGAACATTTCTCGGATTTGTTTGATAATCCTTCAGCTGTTGATTTGAACATAATTATTTTTAATTTAACATCATTTCAAATGAATTTAAAAAAAAATGGTATAAAAAATAATACCTTCTTGTAACATGGAAGCATAGGAGATTAATGGAAAATTATTATCAACTGCTTCTGTTTTATTTACATTGTTTGGGCTGTTTTCCTCATCTTTATTGCCATATTAACGAAGTTTTGGCTGTTGTATGCTCTAGCCTTCTTCAAGTAATTGGTATTTTGAACTGAACCCTTTATTTCGTCCATCAGGGTAGATTGTTCTAGTTCCAGGTGCCATACCTCTTCCGGATGTTTTAGTTATCTCTCTTTAATTCACCTCTTCAATTTTTTGTTCTTGCTGTAGCCATGTATTGAACTCACTAGGACATATAGCCAGTGGATAAATGCGTTGGTGGGATCTAGTGTCTTGATTCAAAGAGTTGTGAGTTCAATATCTGGCTACTGCAGTGGTAAACAAAAACTTGGAGAGTTGAGTTAAAGGGAGAAACATCCTGAAGAGGCATGGCATGTAGAACTAGAACAATCTACCCTAGTGGACGAAATAAAAGGTTCAGTATGAAATTCCAGTCACCTGAAGAAGGCTGGAGATTACAATGGCCAAAACATTGTTAATATGGCAATAATGATGAGGACCACGGTTTGAATGATATAAATAATGTAAATAATTACAATACCTCAGCTCAGAAGTAGATGCTTCTATCTTCAAAGGTTAAACCTGAAACATTTATTTGATTAGAAGATTTATAAGATTGTATTTTTCCTACTTCAGATGATGGCTATTACTTATTTCCTGATTTCACTCTCATGTTACCTGACAAAGAAAAGGAAGTAGTTGAAGATTATAAGGGTATTTTTGAATCCTCACTCTTGATTTGGTGGTAAGTCTTTGCCAATCATTATACTTGAATCTCATTAAAAATCTCTTTTTTTTATCATTCAATATAGTGTGGCATTAAGATATTGAATATTTTTAAGAATTAACTGTAATTGTTGACTTTCTTTTATAAAACATTATTTTTTGTTACGACCTGTTGAAGTTGATTTAAAAGAAAAAAAAAGAAAACAAAATGATTTGTTGTATTTTTTCTGTAAGTTTGTTGATTCTTTTTAATATCATTTCACTCCAAATAAGGTGATAAAGCCACTAAGACATGAGGAGTTAAAGAGTGTGAAAGAATCTGATAAAAAAAAACAAACCTTTAGGCAAGCAAACAATAAAAGGACAGGAATTAAGGAGAGAGATGACAATTGACATTGCATTTAAATTTTTTGAAGATCAAAGTTGATTGGAAAGCAAGAAGCCAGAAGAGTTTCACAGTTTAACATCCTTTTTTATTATATTCTTTATACAGGCACAAAAATATGGAAAGTTTTCATTAAATTTATTTACTAAATAATAACTAGTGGTCTATTAGGTCTTGTGTAGTGTAAGACTGTTTTTCTGTCAACATTTTTTAAAAGAACTCCTACCATATTTGATTGCATACAAGACCTCATCCATTTACATTCCATATTACAGTATTATGGAGTTAGGCTAGGTATAAGTAATAATAGTCTACAGTGCCTGGGTAAACGTTAGCCAATGAGATACTTCATCTTCACATATAAAACTTTGGAAATATCTTTTGACCCCCCCTCCTTTTTTTTTCTTAAGAAGAAAAATGTGTCTGAAATGCCGTGAAAAAACAAATGAAGAAATTATTCCAAAGAAAAGAACATATAATGATTAAAACTGAAAGTTTGTTTTAGTATTGCTTTTTTTTTTTTTTAAAATAAAAACTTGTTAAATTATGTAGACACTTAATGCTTTATCTCTTGTCTTTTTTTTTTTTTTTTTTTAAAACAGTAATACATTTAATAAAAACAATTCAGCTTCCATTCATTAATCAACTATTAATTTTTTGGTGTCTAGTGAAAGGGACAGTTGTACTTAAATTAAGAAAAATATATTTGTTTAGCTGTGAATTCCTAAAAGTTATACTTCTACAAAAGTTATACTTTTTATCTTTTCTCTTGACATTAAAGGTATTGTTCCAATTAATTAAAACAAAGCAGTTGAGACCCTAAGCCAAAAATTAATCATTTGCTTCAGTTTGTATTACTTTTCATCATATTGAATTTTTAATGGTTATCTTAACATATTTGTTTGTAATTATATTCATGTTATATCAATTACTTGGATAGTGAAGTGCTTGTTTACTTGGCTGTGTTTTCTTGGACCCAGTTTTGATTCATCTAAATAAATTCTTTTGTCAGTTTCAAATATATTTGTTATTTGAAATCTTGACATTAATCAGTAAATATAGCATTATGTTTATCATTTACTAATCATTATTATTTCTTTTACTTTCTCTCTGGTGAGAGTTTATTCAAAATAATAGCCAACCATGTTTTAATTTAATTTTACAGACTTTTTCTCTTGAATTTTACTTATTAATTTTTATATACTCATGAAATTTTTTTATGTAAACTTTATATTTAAACTTACTATTTTCAGGAAAGAGGTGGCTTTTATTAGCATTATTACTGCTGTAGTTTTTAATTTGGCTGTTTTCTGCTTTGCACGTTTTGAAGCCTCACGTAGAGAACAGTCAGACAATGTACAGAATAACTCAAATCCTCCAGAACAGGTAAGTTTCAGTTTAAAATCTTACTTATAATTTTATTTTCCAATTTGTAATTTTTTTTTATTTCTATGATTTTAAATTATGGAGTAATTCATGCCAAAGTTGATTTAGTTTCTAACTAAAAGTTATTCGCTTTTTTTTTTTTTTTAAATATTAGTCAGTACCTTATTTTGGGATGATTTCATCTAATCACAATTTAAGTAATGTTAAAAGGATTTTTGGTAAATGGTAGCAGATATTTTAAGTTTCTGATCTGCTTCTAATTGCAGAAATTGATGTTTCTGGTTTCTAGCAAATTAACTTAAATATATTTGGAAATTTGTTGATGTCAAAAAGCAATGTGGCTTTTTTGACTTACAAAAATAATACATGCTGGAAATGAGAGAGAGATATGTTTAATGCTTAAAAAAGGTTTGTAAGAGTGAGCCAAGTTCACAATTAAAGCAAAGAAATGTCTGGTTGTTTGATGGAAACTAATCTGATGAATTATTGTCAATAAGAGGCTTCATTGAGAAGAGTTTCCACCATCTTGTTTCTATAAGATATATTCTATAAGGAATAGAATTATTTATTTTGTCAGCACATGATAACGAAATTTAGAGTTAGAAAGTGTTCATAAAAATGTCTAGGTAAGTCAATATGTCTGCCTGATGATGAAAGATAGCTTTTATTCTATTAAAAAAAAAACAGTAATGAATGAGGTGTATGATATAAATGAAAGAGAAGGTGATAAGTGAAGGCTATGAGGATAAGGAGGAAAGCTAACAATTGGCCCCTGCTTGAAGATGTCAAACTTGAAGTGATCGGGGAAGCAATCATATTGGAGTCTATTCCACAAAGTTCTTGGGGAAAAGCTGTCTGAGTAGAAGTTTCTTCTTAATTTTGGAACACAAAGAGAATGAGGGGAAAGTGTTTTAACTCTGAGAAGATGGTACAGTGTGTCCTAGCTGTAAAATGTCTGAACTGGATGGAACTAAAGAATGGAGATTGTTTGAATATTTCCATAGTGATAGTCATAATAGGTTTGCAATATTCCATCTGTGGGAAAGAGGCTGCAGACTAAATGATTTTGAACTTATGGCTGGAAAGTTAGATTTGTGCAGCTCCAGCAATACACTGTTTTTGGTTTAATTTGACTTTTGTAAATATAAAGCATGGCAGAAGGAGTCAGATACTTCTTGGAGCGATATAGTAAGACCGACCATATTTCCAGCATCTTCAGCAATGGATTGAATATATGAGTTCCACTTGAGGTCTGGAGCAAATATGAGACCCAATAAATGTTCAAAGCATAGAGCCAATAACTATAGTCTGATGCTACAGATTTATTGATGCACTTTGATATAGAGGGTGTGATAGAAATACCTCCCATTAGTGGCAATGATGTCTTCATCTAGCTAAGGTATTACCATTATGTGGGAGGTATTTCTGGCACACACTGTACAATCTTTTGATGACTTTCAAACAGTTTCATCTACCCATTTTTACTCACATGGCTTTGGTCTACATGTGGTATGGTTTTCAAGCACTTTTCAACTGTACCACACACTGGGATCATCTTCCTAGGCTGATATTATCAAGAAGTCATCTCCTTGATTACTCAACCATTGTGAGGTTTGAATGTGATGCAGCTCAGATTAAACCTCTCTCACAATATAACCATGTATGGTTTAGCTTAGTCCATGTGGTATGGGAAAATGATATATAATGTTTTATACAGGGTGCAGCAAAAATACCTCCCACATATGGGTAAGTGGCAATAGTGTTTTCATCTAGCTAATTTCTTACCATTATTACCATTATGTGGGAGGTATTTTTTGTTGCATCCTGTATTATAACTGGACTATTTTGCTTAGGTTTTACATTATCACTCCTTGATAACATTTTGGTTAAGATGTTTACCAAATTCTTTTATATGATAGATTCACATTTTAGACTAAATTTTGCAAAAAGTGAAGTCATGAAAATAACAAAAGCTATATTTTGATTTCAAGTTTGTGTTCAAGTTTTTTTTAAACAATATTTGAAAATTAAAAAAAATGTTTCCAATTGTTATTCTATTCATGTACATTATGATTTATTTTAAAATAGAACTGTTGGTTAATATTTGTTTTATTGTAGATAGATTCTTTTAATACAATATTGAGATCAATGTTGGAAATCCTGCCATGTATTTTGGTAAGGGCAGTTCACTTTGCATTTCCTGCTTATTAATGGTGCACTCTATTTCATTGTGTTGATGCACTGTAGTTCTAGTTCTATTTTCTTTATATTCCATTTGCTTGTAAATTGTGTTAGATTTACTTCTGGATCATGAGCTAGAAAAATTAACATTTCAACCTGTAATATTTTCATATTCTTTCAGCTAATATAAAAAGAAGGAATGAAAATAATGTTTAAAACTTTAATTTCATTTACTTTTTCATAATTTAAAAGATTTGCATGAAACAACAAAAGAGAAAGGCTTTCTACAATAATTTAAAGCCACAATTAGATTCAACACAGTTTAATATTGTAAAAATCAGCATTTTCGTAATTCACCCCAAATTGAGATTCAACACATAACTTAATTTTCAAGTTGTTTTACAAGTGAAATAAAATGTGAAACTTCTTCATCCAATTGATCCAATAGTTGAAATTATTTGTGTGCCAAAAGTATTTTCATTTTTTAATCAATTACCTGTATGCTTTTTAAATCTTATGCTCTACTTATGATATCCTTTGATGATTCTAACCTTGCTGAAACTTTTTCAGTTGTGGTGGTTGGGTTCCGACCTTTTATTTTAAAGCATCATCATAGACATTTGATAGTTGTCCACTTTTAGGCTTTATTTCACCATCATTAAAATACTTAAACCAGTTTTGGTATTTAAAGTCGGATGGTTGATTTCCTTCCACTTACCAATTTTTTTATCAGTTTCAACATCTTTGAGACCCAGTTAACGTTTCAAAATTATCAGAATCCTAGAATCTACCTTTATAAGATCTAAAACAAAGATTAGAGTTGAATAATATTAATATTGATAATGATAATAATAAACTGAACAACAAGGTGTTACTGGAAAAAACTATCATTCAAAAAAATAGAACCCTAAGCACTGTATAGATAGATTATATTAAAGAGAAAAGCATTTGATTATGTTCCATGTGACTAGATCATAACGAGTAATGAAAATTTCTCTGCATGAATCCAACAAAAAGTTACATTTAATTATCAAAGAAATCCAAAAATTCAAATAAAATCTACAACTACAAAAGCATGAAGAAATACAAGTTGAAATACCAAAAGTAGAGGTCAAAAACATCAGACAAAAAAAATAAGAGCCTAACTGACGTGAAAACTAAATGGGAAGAAAAGCCCTTACATGGTTGATACCCATTGTAAACACAAGGTTCTGATCTTGCCAAAAATATGACCCATCAGTATTTAAACAAGAAATGGAATTAATTCTGGCCATTCAAGATCAAAACCTGCCAACAACATTCTTCCAGTCACATATTTTAATGAATAGGACAGATTTAAAATGTTACTTTTGTACAAATGCCAAAGGAACTATTGGCCATTTAATATCTAGGTGCTCTGCTCAAGTCCTAAATGAATTTATGTATACACCTGATAGGTTAGGGAAACACTTGCATTGGAAGATATACTAACATTATAACCTTCCTTATGTAGAAAAATGGGATGAACACAAACCACCACCAGTGAAAACATTACAATACTCTGTGACTTATATATATATACCAACTGCATTATTCAAGCCAATAGTCCAGATTTAATTAAAAAGACTTGAAAAAACATGACAGTAGCCTCAGAGAAATAACCATCCTGTCTGTTGAAAACTTCTCAGCAATCAAATTTGACAAACTTTCAAAAGATCTGGAAATAGAAATTGCTAGAATATGGCATTTAAACACAATCACTATCCTCAAAATAATAGGAGTTCTAGAAAGGATTAAAAAAGAATACTGATGCACCTTAATGAAAATAATTTGGCATAATAAAATTGTATAATACACTGAATATTAGGAATTAATTTATTTCATTTTTTAAATAGAATTTTTAGTATTTTAATCAATACATTTGATCTTTAGGCCTTCATTCATATGTTTGGTTTGTTGATAATGTATAAGGAAACATCTTGTACAATTTTCTGATTTTGGGTAAAAATCTATGGATGGATAATATGTTTATTTACAGTCAGACTAATGTCCTCATCTTTGTTGTTATTGCAGCATTTAGGCAGTTGTACCCTTTTTGTCTTCAGGTGTTTGTCAAATCAGGCAATTTTCAGGGAATTTCAAACTGAAATCTTTATTTAATCTATGGAAATAGAATGTCCTTGTTCCTCCTATCTGTGAGGACATTAATCTGATTGTAAATAATGTGAATAATAATAACACTTTGTCGCAGAATTTCAAACTGAATAATATGGCTATTTTGGTTTCATTTCAAAATGTTTTGAACACAATTTCACAAAATGTGATTTCTCTCTTATTTATTATACTTTTTTTCTGTAAGGAGAAATATATATTTGAAAACTCTGCCATGTGTTAGCAGATTATATATCACTCGCTCACTTAAGTCCCATAGACTCCCTGAGAAGTATGGGGTCATAGTTCTCAGTATGTTAGGCATTGGTTTCTATAGCAGGTAATAGGCTTTTATGGGATGGTGTTGCTAGCCCCATGCCCAATCAATTTTGAATTCAGATTTGTTTTTCTAGAATGGTTACCAACCATGGATAAAGAGCCCAGTCTGCCCTACTATTTAACCCATAGGTGTATGGGGAGAGAGTAAAAAAAAAATGAATTCATATCTTCCCCAAGGGTATTTACACATAAATGAATGCAATGAACTATACTGGACTTTGAACTCAGCTCTCATTTCTCATTCCTAGCCGCTATCCATTACACCACCCACACATCCCATATTATGAGTGCTTTATGCCTATGATATTTTGTTACTAATAAGTGGAACTGGAATTGGAACAACTGCGTTAAAGTTTTTGGTTTAATTTGTGCTTTATTTTTTTGAGGCTTTAAGTCATACTAATTTATTACTTTGAAAACAACAGTTAAGAAATCTAATATATATATTTTTTAATTATCACTATATTTTGTAAAATGGCAAAATGATTTATTCCTGGGGTCGTGGTTACTAAAATCCAAGATGTTATGAAATTAAGTACCATTGTGTTGACTATAAAAATTTTGGTGCATGTTTACTAAAATATCCACATTTTCCATGTTTCTAATTTTTGTTTTTTGTCAATCAAAATAAAGGAAATAAATTTAATGTAAACAATCAAATAAAAAATGTCATGGGTTTCCTTGTAGAAAGGTGTATGTGAAACTGGGTGATAAGAAAGGAGACACCATAACAAAGTACCATATTGTATCATTTGGTACTACCACATTTTAGTACCCAAATACTTACTGTCTCAAATACACCTGCTGCATTATTCACCCTGCAACACAGGTATATTGGACTTGAGAATACAACCAATTAAATATGAATGCTGAATATATCAGCAATGACAGTTTTAGAGAAAATAGAAACAAAAAGGACACTTATATGTAGCATCAGAAAAAGACAGTTGAGTTTTCTAAGATGCATAATGAGGAAAGAGGGTTTGGAAAATTTGACACCCACAGGACATATTGAAGGCTAGAGGGACAGAGGAAGACAGTGAATAACCTACCTAATGAGTTTTGTAAATGGTTGGTAGAACAGGGATTAGGTAAGATAGCAAAAAGAAAAACTTTACTACAGGGACAGGAAATTGTGGAGAGCTATGATTGCCCATGTCCTGAAGGAACACAGCACATAGAAGAAGTTTGAAAATATTAAATTTCAAGACAGGATGTTGATATGAAATTTCTTTGAAAGTACCATGATATTCATGAGGTTTTGGAAATTGGTACCCTACCCGCTACCCCTGTTTATTCAGTTATTAAATGATTAATGCAGTAATCTCTTTACTTTGATAATAAGCTATAACAAGCAGATTATCCAGATGGTTGCCTTTAGCATTTTGTACTGTTAAAATTTGTATTCAAAATCTTGGTTATTGATTTATTAACTTCCACAAAAACAAACTAAGACTTTATAAAACCTCATTTGTACATTAAGATTATGAGATTACTTGCTATTATTTTTTATTTTTTAAGATTATAGTTCATTCACCTTTTACCTGTTCACTGCCAAGTATTGTTTTTAACTTTGTAACTCTTTTGTGTTGGGTTTTTCTTGTAAAAAAAATTAATGAAAATAGAAAGTCTTCCTTGCTTGTTTAAAATGATTTTATTTTCAAACAAATCAACTAATGTGTACAACATTAATAAATGTAATTGTGTGTGTGTCTGCTAAAATATTTTAATAATTTAAATAAGTATTGAACATATATAATCAGACTAATAGTAGATAAATAAATGGAAAAATGAGAAAACTCCTAAGTAATGCATTTCTTCCTTAGAAGAACATCAAACTAATAGTTTAATAGTTTTATTCAATTTTTTAATTATAAGTTTTATTCATCTACTGTATATAGTGTAAGTTTTTATGACCAGTTCTTTTATGCACAATATAAGTGTTAGCACTATACACAGGTAATTTTTTTTTTTTTTTTTTTTTTTTTTTTTGAAGAGGTTAAAAAATCAAGCATTTTCAGTGAGCATTTGCACTATACACATGTGAATATTTTTTCTGGAGGGGTTAAAATTTCCTGCAAAAAAAATTCAAGAGTCACACTATATATGAAATCTGCTTATACACAAGTATATACAGTATATGTGTGTAGTGTCAGAAATATAACAAACATTGGTTACAATTTTAAATTGAAAATGTTGAAGATATAGGAATGCTGAGCTTGAAATTTAAATTTTTGAAGTCTGCTGTATCTAGATGCATAACTTTTCAGGATGTTCAGATTCATGATACCTAAGGTTTAAAATGTATTTCTAAAATGAAAAAATCTTTCTTTTTAGCTTTTTAATTCAAAGTTAAAGAAATAAATTTACTATACCCAGTGAGCAAAATGCTTTGTTGTATTTAAAACCGAATTTGTATTGATTCAGATAGACTTGTCTTTTTTGTTTTCAATAAAATTGAAGATGTGTGTCATTTTTGAGACATTTGTAAACAAAAGTTAATTCTTTGTTTTAAAAAATCTTGCAAAAATAAAATATACTTTTTTCAAAAATTATTTGAGGAAAATTAGGAAATTTAAAGTTTACTTAATCTAATTTAAAACAAACATTACTTACTTTTTCAGCATAAAAAAGGTAGTAGAAAATAAAAAAAGCATTTCTTAACCACAGTAACTTGTTTGTCAGGTGTTGATTAATGATAGTGACTGCTGAGGTCAGGAGAAGTCATCAGATGGATAACAGAAGTGACATAAATTTTACGAATTTTAAGTGAACTTATTTAACTACCCAGTAATTTTTACAAATTAACAAATATTTTAAGCAATCTAACATTTTATTGATTTTAGGTACTTTAGCTTTATGGCCTTACATTTTGGTATTAGCTTTATGGCCTTACATTTTGAAGATGCTTTCTGGAAAAATAATAAAATTTAAAATATAACAATAAAATAAATTTAAAATTTCATAACTAAGATAATATAAAAATTAATATAACATAAAATTTCATAGATAAAGAGGTAGCTATAATTTTTAGGTACATCTCTTATGAAAATTTATGGTATTTTATTTATTATTTATTTTTATATTATCTCAGTTATGAAATTTTAAAGAATTCTTGACATGTGACATTTTAATGATAATGTCATTTATAAAAAAGGCATGTTTATATACATACAGAAACTGTTAAATTGCAGATAGTAATAAGCTTTTAGATTTATGATTAGTAAAAATGGTTTTACTTAACATTATTTCCTAAAGTTGCAACATTGAAACTGAATTTTAAAAGATTTAACAATTGTATAAATTATAGTAATTAAAATTGTAAAAAAAAAAGAAAAAATTCTTGTAAAAATTCATTTTTTATCAGAAAATCTTTTTTTGCTTCAGACGATATTCTCCTTAGCATATATTATTCATAAAAGCAATTAAAAACTTTTCTAATTAAATAATGTCTTAGTTTTATTGGGTTTTGTATTTTACAATTCAGAGCTGATTTTTTGTAAGCAGTTGTTTGTTTTTACAAAAAAGAAATCATTTAAATTCTTCAACGTCTTCTAATCAATAAAAGTTACACCTTTGAATTTCTTGAGTTTTCATATAATTAACAGATGTAAAAAAAATATTTTTACCAAGATTTACTAAAAAATAAAAAACATTTCTAATATAATTTCATTCATTTGTGAATAAGTTCTGAAAGTTTCATTAAAATCCAACAATTATTTGAATTTTGCAAGAATTTCCAAATCAATGTATCTTTCTCTGCAATAAAAGATATTAAAATTTGTTATGTTGTTTTATAGTCCATCCTTTGATGTAAGAAAAACAAGACTTTTAATCAAAATTTTGAATTGGTGATTTGACAAATTTGGAGCTACATGTCAGGCACAAAGTTTTCAAATCACTGAAGTAAATATGCAAATTAGCTTTAGTTGCACAAGAAGATGCTGCCATCTTGTAAAAAAAATAACATTATCATAAGATTAATTATTCCATTTGTGGCAGTGAATAGGTTATTGTGGGAATGTGTTGGTATGTACAGACTGTGAATTCAATTTGGCTAACATTTACTCAAAAGGGAACTGAAAATATAAACTTTTAAATTGCCAGAAACTTGCATAAAACAATTTTTCTTTAATTTTCTGGAATTTTATGTTATCTTTTATTTTTTGATTGAATTGTCTGTAATGGTTAAAGAATGCATTTTTTTTTCTGTTAATCAGGATGAAGAGAAAACGGAAGAAGTATTACTTACAAATAAGATGAAGGATGAAGTCGAGAGACCTGACTCATTACCTTTAAATAGTCCAGCTGAATATGTCTCAAAGTAAGATATTTTTCTGTTTTTTTCCCCATATTTTCTAGTAATTATAATTGAAATTATTTTATTCTTTAAAATAATTGTGTCACTTATTTAGTTTTCCATCTCTTGTCTTTTTATCAATTGAAGAAATGAAAGTAAAAGTATCTTTTTTTTTTTAATGATTGTGCTTATGAAGATTTATTGTGATGTGAGCTTCTATGTTGGTGAATTTAATGCATGAAGTTTGCTTATATTAGAGATACAAACTTTGGGAGCTGTCCACATTGTAGATGGAAGTTGTAATGTTATTTTACCAAATGATTGAAATGTGTCAGAGGCTCTAATTTAGCTAGAAAACAAAGATAAAAATATCAATCATAATGAGAAGATATTATTGCTGGTTAAATTTTCTTTTGTGTTGATTTGTCATTTGTGAGAACATTTTTTTCATAAAGAAAAAGAAAAAAAAATCAACTAATTTAGACCAGCTGAAGTTAGTATTGAAAATTACATTTGAACATTTATTTTAAAAAATTGCATCAAAAGTAATGAAGTTTCATTGGCCATTACTTCAGCAATATACCTGTATTACCATATCCATTTTCAAATGACAACAAAATAGAGCAACATAAGTCATTGGTCAGTTATTTGTTTAGATGAACCAGAGGACTCAGCCCACATCACATGAATGACTGAAGCCATGACTTCTTAGACTATGCCTTATATTGCCTGTCCTCCAAGGTTCAATTTGTAACATCACAAGCTCTGATGAGGTGCTGTGTTCAGTGTCAAGAAAAGAATGCTGACCTGACTAATGTCTTCTAGACATTTAGAAAATTCATGTTGTTTTTTAATCTGAATTTAAAATATGTAAAGCATTCAATTATAAAATTATTACCTGCTTTTTATTTAAACATTACAGAGAAAACATTTTAAAGGAATTCTTAATAAATGATGTTATTTTTTGTCAGAGCCTGTAGTGGGGGGGGGTTTAAAACATGTCCTTCAGTCATGTTTGTTTATAAGAAAGAAGACATTTTTGTTGAATATATACTTATTGACACATCATAAGGGAGTAATTTTGATTGATTAATATTGAGAATTAGAATCCTGTACTTGATTTGTGATAGCGAATTGCATTAATATACTTGTTAAAAAAATAAAAATGGAAACATTAAGTAATCACAACAAATAGCATTAATATCTTTAGAGGTTAGTTAACATCAAAATTTCTTATTAAAAGCAAAGGGAAATGCCCAACAAGATTTTACCAAGTTTTCTAAGTTTTATACTAAGTCCTCTAGAACATTGTCATATTGATTTCTAATTTTTTTTTTTTTTTTTTTATAGAGTGAATAACTTTTTATGATTTATTTATTTATTTTCAGATATTATACAGATTTTGAACATTTGGAGCGACTTAACCATGGTGCATATGGTGTTGTTTTTGTGGCGAAAAACAAATTTGATTCTTGCCAGTATGCAGTGAAGCGGATTTGCTTGCCTAAATGGTAGATAAACCTCCCCTGTTGCCTTTTGTTTTATTGGTTCTATTGTCTTTAAAGAATAATTAGAAATAATTAGAACATTAAATATTTTATTGTATAATTAGATTTTAATTGACTAGTGAGACATTTTTTGAATAGCAGGAAAGGCTACTTTCTATTTGGATCAGCATACTCATCTTGGTTGTTGTGCTAAAATCATTTTGACCATTGTACTTTCTGATCTTCTTCAGCTGTCTCTTTTTATGCTTGTTAACCTCTTTGGAATTTTGATACCAAACATTTTATTCAATCTATAGGAGTAGACTGTTTTCATTTCACTTTTCATTCCAAAAGGAGATAACTTGTATGAGCTAATTCTCCAGTCTATTTGCTTTGTGTTGCTTTTTTTTTTTATACAATGATATTCATCCTGTACAAGGCCCAAGAGCTGCTCAAGGTAGAGGGTTACAGAGTAAGAGGCATCATCCCAAGCAAGGAGATAATGCCTTCCAGACACAAGGGGCCACTGGAAGTGGAAGAGAAGGAAAAAGACTTTTGAAGGAATCAGAAACCCAATCCTAAACAGAAATCAAGGCTTAAACCTCTACCCCCTTTAAAAAAAAAAAACAAAAAAAAAATGATGAGGAGTGTGAACTGGGCAATAGGCAAATATATCTACTATTTTTGTCTGTCTCTTCTACTGAACCAGACTATATGACTTCTCTGCATTGCCTGATCAAGGGAGTGAATTCACAACTGCCAAGGAAACAAATATATATTTACTAGCAGTAGAGCCCGGCATTGCCCGGGGATGTAACAGTAAGAGATAGATCAAGTATCGACCATCATAAAGACTGAAAAATAAAATTGACAAAGATTACTGTTTAAGGTTGACGGACACGCATGTCTTAATTAGTTTTTTTTTTTTTACGAATTGGTCAAACTCAAACAAAAACATTGTTTTCAATTGTTATGAGTCTACCGATTGAATAGAATTTTATTATAAACAATTGTCTTGTAAATGGAATTTTTAAAGCATTCTGAATGTAAAAATAAAGAAAAAAGTGTGCAAGACAATAAGAAACACTACCCCCCCCATGAAGTTTTGTTGAAATCAGTTGAAAAATGTAGGAAATCTGATCCCATATATAAACGAACACACACACACACACACAACCTGGGTTTTATAATAAATATAACTCGATATGAGTTGTCCCCCTTTCATTCTCGCGATGCCTCTTAATCGTGTTTTCAAATTGATTTTGTGCAAAAATAATTGTGTTTTTCCATTTTTTGGCGCTGTTAGAACCACCGCAAGGTAATTTTACGTAGTCCTGTGAAGTTTTGTTGAAATTGGTTGAAAAATGTAGGAAATCTGATCCAATATATAAACGTACACACACACACACACACACACACACAATCTGCGTTTTATAATAAGTGAGATAAGATAAGATCTAATGAATACTATATTGTCTCTCTTGGACAAACCAGCAATGTCATTTTGGAGCCTTGTACTTAATGTCTATCCTCAGGTCTTGGAATTGTATGAGTGTCCTTTCTTTCTCAATCAGAAGGTCCCAGATGGTATTCATTCATTATGCTAGGAAGGAAGATAGTGGTCACCAAACCCTGTGGAATGAAATCAGAATAATAGACTGAGAAGGATAAGACAACTGAAAGAATCAGCACACATGTTAGGCTTTGGCAATTTTCTCAGTAGACCTAGCATAAAGATGATTACCATCTGAGAACTTGTGATTAAAAAAGAAACAAAAATGAAAGTGTTGTGATGAATAAGTTGTTTATGAAGGTGCATCAATAAGTTTGTATTCTGACACAATGTAGTTTAGCTGAATTTTAACCTAAAATTCTCACTGTATAATGTTCAATTAGTGATTAATACTAATTACTATATTGGGTGCATTGACAAAGAAAGTGATCATATTGAAAAATGAATATCTGTTGTGTAAAATAAATGCTTTTTTGTTTGTTTTCCATTAGTCTGTAGACTTATTGATATGCAAATATATTTAAAATTTGTTAAATTACTCTTTGATATTTTTTTACTTAGATTTTGCAAATGGCTGACACTTGTTTGGCTCATACAAAAAATAATTCATGAATGCCTACTTAGCAAATTTTTGATCTCATTGTGAAAAATTATATCAAAAGCAAAATAAACAATTTTGCTGCTAATGGCATTAAATAAAAATGTCATTAAATTATAATAGAAGTAAAATTGCTTGAAAAGTAATTATAATTCATCTAACAGTTCACTTCATACAAAAGGAGGTATAGTATTTATACAAAAGAATATAAAACATCCACTTATTTGTAAAATTTTGCTGGCCAGACTTTTGTATTAAAGCCAAAGTAATCATTTATATCTTCCAGGCACAATATGCAATCATTTACACATTCCAGACAAAAGATTACTTGATTTTTAATTGCTCTTTTTTATTTTTTTTCCTACAGTACTGAGAGTGAGGAAAAAGTGATGCGTGAAGTGACCACCTTGGCCAATTTAGATCATGTTGGTATTGTCCGGTATTTCCAGTCTTGGTTTGAGTGTCCACCACTTGGATGGCAAGAAAAAATAGACAGAGAGATGGGATCCAGGTTTGAACTTTTAGACTCTCTAAATCCTAAAACTTTGTAGAATAATTATAATCTATTATTCCATCTTTGGAAGCTTGTTTATGAATGTTTTTCTTCATTTAATGAAGTTTTTTAAAAATCATAATTAGGTCCATTTCTACTTGTTAAAGATCTTTTTAAATAATACTAGGATAAATTTAAGAGTTTTTTTTTTTTTTAGTTTTTTTTTTAGTTATTTTTTAATTTAATTTTTTATTTAATTTTTTTTTTACCTATTTTTTAATTTAAAATAGGAGAAATAGTCTTAACTTTTTTTCATTTAATTTTTTTTTAAATATATTATGCTGAAGCATTTGACAATTTATGATAGATTTATTTGAACAGCTAGGAAAACTAGAAACTCTATTTAGAAAAGATATTAGAATAGTCCAGAACTCGTACTGGGAGAAAGTCACTTGCATATGGATAGAAAATGAATTAAGTACAGATAAATAGAAAGGGGCATGAAACGAAGATGTCTTTTCTCCAGATTTATTCGACCTCTATAGTGATGCTATCCTAAGTGAACTGGAAACCCTACACTATTATCGGTGGGTGTAATCTTAACAATATAAGATACACAGATGACACTGCATTGATGGCTGATTCAGAAAGAAAAATACAGGACCTCCTAGACAGTGTACCAGAAGAAAGCGAGAAAAAAAAGAACTGTCAACTGCAAGAAGACAGAAAGTTTGGTCATCAGCAAGAGAAAAAGCCCAAGATGCAATTTACAAATTGGAGATGTTGACCTCATGAAGATGCAGAAGTTTAAATATCTGGGAAGCGTTTTAACAAAACATGCAAAATGTGACACCGAGATTCAAACATACATTGAACTAGCAAAAGAAGCACTTCAAAAACTAAGTATGGTGCTGAGAAATGGAAAAATATCCCTAGAAACAAAGAAAAGAGTGCTGGTTTACTATGATATCCATCCTCTTATATGACAGTGAATGCTGGACAATCTCCCCACAGATAAATAGAAAACTGCAGGTAGCAAAAATGTGGTTCTACAGAAGGATACTAAAAGTTCTATAGATGAAGCCTGTAAGCAACAAGGAAGTCTAAAGACAGAAAGAACACTTCTATTCAGAACCAGGAAAAATCAGCTGAAATTCTTTGAACACATAATGAGGAAGGAGGGTTGGAAAATTTAACCCTCACAGGGCATATTGAGGACAAGAAAAATAGTGGAAGGCAATGAGCCACTTCCTTGATAAGCTTGTGTGAATGGGTGAGGATGGGGGGGTATAGAACATTAGCAAAGGGAGAAAAACTGCTAAGGGTCACAAAGGATAGGAAGTTGAAAAAATCATGGTTGCTCATGTCCTGAAGGGATGCAGCATATGGAAGAAGATTTAGCTATTGTAGTTAAAATCCATGTTTTTTTTTTTTCATTATGATAATTTTTTTTTTTTCATTATGATAATTTTTTTTTTTTCATTATGATAATTTTTTTTTTTCATTATGATAATTTTTTTTTTTCATATGATAATTTTTTTTTTTTTCATTATGATAATTTTTTTTTTCATTATGATAATTTTTTTTTTTTCATTATGATAATTTTTTTTTTTTCATTATGATAATTTTCATTGTACAGAAGAAATGCATTAAAGCAAAGTATATTCCTGATATATTAAATTTTTATTGATTTTCTTTTTGACAAAGATTAAATGTTTTAGATTATATTGTGGAGATGTTATCATCATTTCTAAAGCACATCCTATAGAGTGGAATATTTTTAACTTTGTTTATATGTAGTTGTATGGTATTTGGGAATGATATGAAAATGAACTTTGTTGAAAGAATAGAATTTAGCTTTTCAAATGTTTCTTTCAGAATTTATATCTCTGTAAACATTACTAAAGGATGTCTCCTAATAAAACTGATATTTTTTTTGCAAGCAACACCTAATTAATGTAATAGAAGATGGTGGAGGTGTGTTTATTTTTTTGAGGAAATTTTCTGACCCCCTCTACTCTTGAGCTTATTAACACAATCCCATTAATTATCAAACCTTTCTCCAGAGCTCAAGCAAGAAATGGCAATTATTATAGTTGGTTTGAGTTTTTACTTGCATGCTTTTATGATTGTTTGGTAAGTCGTATAGTTTTATTTTTTAGGATTGACTGCTACTTTATCCCCAGGATGATTTCTTATATCCTTCTCATAAGATAATGGTTTACTTTTGATTTTTATGTGAGTCAGTATTTAATTTATGCAATCTTTTTTGCATACTAATTAAGTTGTGCCAAGACTTCTTGACATGCTAATATTAGAAAATGTATTGAGTATGGGGAACCAAGTTAGGTTACAGTAGTGGTTCTGGAAAAAAAAAATCTTTCTTAATTTAAATTCTAAATTTTGAATCCCTTTAATTGATTCTCAGATCTTTCTTAATTCCGTTTATTGCATTTTGAGAAAAAAAAATCAACCAATTATCACCCACATTAGGTACCTAAGAGTACATTTGATTTCCTACTAGAAGACTACAAAATCCAACTTAGTTTTAAATGAATGAAAGGGGTTTATAAACATTTGTTGTTTGACTTTTAATTTCTCCAAAGGCTCCATTTTGCACTGAAATGAATTTTTTTTTGTCTGTCCAAAGATTCATATGACTAATACATTTTCCACCAACAAATAAGTGTCTCACTTGTCACCAGTTGTTCCTGTCACCCACTCAATTGTCTTGGTTGTTTTGAAGTCCAATCCACATTTTAGCTTTTATAGGATACAAACATCTGTAATCAAGATGTGCACAGTTCTGATTAAAATGCACTTCCTGTTTCATCAGCAATAAGTCAGCCATCAAAATTTAAAAAAGAAGCTTATATTTCATGTTTATGCACAGCTCATGTCAAAAATGTTCTTTCAAAAGTTGTATGCATAGTTATGTGAAACATACACCTGCAAAAAAAAAAAAACAGTTTTATTATTTGACACACTTTATGGTTTGTTTTTATGATGACATTTTCAAGTTTAGGACTGGGTTTGGGCCATGCACAAGATTTGTATATACTTAGCTATCTACACTAAAAGTAAATAAAAATTAAGTTTTACAAATTGCTAAGGCATTTTTATACTGATTAAAGAAGGAAAAAAAAAATCGTAGTATACTCTTTTCATGACGTATCTTAAGAGATTTCACAAAAATATTTTCTTTTTTTTGACAATATTCCTGACTACAGTGAAATGAAAACCTCTATTAGAACTGCTTAATGCAATCTTTACCACTATCACATGACAAATGTGAATTTTATTTATTTATTTTTTCCAAGGAAAAAACCTCTGAAATAGGACAAAACTCACCTCCAATATTAGCAAATGCTTTTGATCTTTGTTTGCTTTATCAGTTTTCAAAGAATACCAAGAGAAACATTCAGTAGATTACGGAAAATATCCAAGCACAAAGCGAGTCTTTTTCGATAGAACTTTAAAAAAAAATGTTATATACAGATCCATATAGATACTTTTCCTCTCTAATGAAATGTGTGTCTAGGTATTCAATCACTTTCATTTTTGTATCTTTATTAAAAGAAAATAAAAAGCATTTCAGTAAATCTAAATAATTTGAAAAGCTTCTTTGTTCACTTTTACATTCAAACATTCTCTTTTGATATTTACGCTGTTTACATTGTTGTCCTCATCTTTATTGTTACATTCACAATGTTTCAGCCATTTGTATGTTCTGGCCTTATCAGGTGATATTTGTTGGAATATCAAACCAAACACAGAGTAGTCAATCTGTATGTTGGCGTTTCTGAAGATTGGTCTGATGACAGTTATGTAGATGTTCTTCCCATATTTATATCCTGAAATGGGCTGACTTATAACCTTCCCATTCTTGTTAACAAAATAAAGATGAACACAACATTCTGCACAATGTAAATAGTGCAAATAGTTACAATATCTCATCTCAGAAATATAGACAGATTGTTTTGATTTCAATAATATTCTTTATTCACTGTGGATAAATATTAAAAAAAACAGGAAACAGTTTTAAAAAAAAATCAGCTTGTAAATCTTTATAATTTATTTTTCTATATCTGTGTATGTATATATGTGTGTATGTGCATACAATGAAAGTAACTCCCTAAAAATGATTTGCCTATCTACTTTTTTATTTTATTTTTTCAATTTTTGATTAAGCTGTAGCACATCTAGATCAAAATTGTAGATAAAATGTCTAAAATCAATATTTTTTGGTTTGTTCAGGGACTTTCAAACCTCAAACTCGTTATCAAGAACTAAATCTCAGCATCATTTTGTGAGTTGCGAAATCATAGGTATATACTTACTACACGAACTAAGCAAAATAATAGATAGAAATGACACAGGACTCTACAGGGATGACGGTCTCATAATCTAAGAAACTTTAACAAACAAAACACAGACAAAACTAGTAAAGCAATAATAAAGATTTTCAAAAATAACGGATTCGACATAGATATAAAAACTAACCTAAACGAAGTAGATTTTCTAGATGTTATCTTCAACCTAAGAAAAGGTACATATAAACCATACAGAAAACCCAATGATAAACGACTCTATATACACACATCTCCCAACCACCCGCCTTCAAATCAAACAGATACCAAAATTGATTAACCACAGGCTTTCCGACAATTCGTCCAATGAATCCATATTTAACAAAGATAAGAAAAACTACGAAACAGCTCAAAAAGATAGTGGATTCCCAGCAACGCTCACATACTCACCAATGAACACAAAATAGGCCAACAGGAAATGAAATATCATATGGTTCAACCCACTGTACAGCAAAAACATGAAAACAAATGTCAGAAAAATATTCTTCAAACTCTTACACAAACACTTCCCAGAATCAAGCACCCTACACAAAATATTCAACAAAAACACAGTAAAAATCAGCTACAGTTGCACCAAGAACATGGCACAAATAATAAAAAACCACACAAACAAATTAAACCCACGTGTAACTGCAGATTAAAGAACGAATTGTAGTTGGTAATTGTTTACAAAACAACGTAATATACCAAGCCACGATAAAATCACCAGATAATGAAGAAAAAGTATCCATAGGAGTAACTGAAGGACCCTGGAAACAAAGAAATTATGCACACAAAACATCTTTCACAAATAGTAAATATGCGAAGAGCACAATGATTTCTAAGTATATCTGGGAAATTAAAAACAAAATGCACATCACTTCAAAAATATCTTGGAAAATAAGGAAAAGATCATCAGTGTACAACAACCAATCAAAAACTTGCAAATTTTGCTTGGAGGAAAAAAATACTCTATTGTATTATTCTAATGGTCTTTTAGGTGAGTGGTAAAAGTTGTGTTGAAAATTATTCTAGGGTTTATTGACTTCCCACAATGTATCACTGACCTATATATATATAAATAGTTGAGCAAAAACACAACAAACATGGACTGATGATTGCATTTAGCATGAAACAGACTGTTGTCCCTGGGTGTGACTTCCATGTCCACTTTTATATTTTATATAATATGAGAGAGAGAGAGTTGAAGATAAGGATGAAATCTGACAAAATGATTAAATAATGAACATGTAGAAAAACGTTTATAAATTTGATATGTTATGATATTTATTTAGTTTCAGCAAAAATTTTTTGGGAAGTTCAATGTCAACTTCTCAAAATTTGCAATAAATAGTGAAACAAAGAGTAAAGAAGTTAATAATAAAAAAAAAACTTATTTTTACCGTTGTTTCTTTTGTAGTGGATGTATTACTCCATCAGTAACCACACAAAATACAAGTCCCACAGAATCTCCTGTTCCACACATCATTGGAGGTGCATGTTTAAACTTCAATCCACTCAAGCCATTTAAAGAACTTGATTTTGAAAACCTCTCAGTAGCAAAAACGAACGGATTATCAAATGAAAATTTGAATTTTGGAGATGAAAATAGTAACCAGGAAAGTGGTTCGTTTAGTATGACTGAACAAAATCCATCACAACAGATGTTTTCAACAGAAGATTCAGAAGAAGAGAGTGAAAATACAGAAAATATATTACCATTTGGAACATATTCTGATTTTGAAGAGGAAGACATAAAGAGTGATGAATCTTCAAGTATCATCTTCAAAGATTCTGGCTTTGAGAGAGGAGAACAAATACCTTTGTCTCTATCAAAACTGGTTTATTCGTCCACTGATTCTACCTCAGAAATGTTAAATGCAGAAAAGAAATGTCAAAAAAGCAACAGTTCAGGATCCAAGCCTAAAAGCAAAACCAGTCCAAAAATGTATTTGTATATTCAGATGCAGTTGTGCAAACGAGAGACACTGAAAGACTGGCTGAGTGAGCACACTGACAAGCGGAATTGTGAAGAGGTTTTAGATTTCTTTGATCAAATTGTCACAGCAGTGGAATATGTACATAAGAAAGGTGTTCTGCACAGAGATCTGAAAGTAAGTGAGAAATGAAAAGTTTTCTTTTTCTTTTTATCATCTTTATTATGAACTATTAGAGGGACCAATTTTTTGTTTCAAATTTTCCTTAATTCTGTTTTAGGTTTTAGGTAATTTTGTTTTTTTCCATTTTCAGTAAGAATTCCATTTCTTCCTCCCATTTTCAGTATAGATTTCTGTTTTTGCTTCATTATAAAACTTACTGAGAAAGTGTAACAATATATAAATGTTATTAAAACAAGAAAATGAAAGATTTTACTAGCTGGAATGTCAACCCATTGGATAAGTTGCTTCATCTTGATAAGGTTTCGTACCTCATTTTAGCTCTTAATCTAACATGATGAATTTCTACGACAACCCTTGCAAAGAATACTACAATCTTAAATAAGAATTACCATATTTTCCGGCTTACAAGATGCTGCAATGTGGAAGATGCACCCTTATATTGGAAAGAAATTTCTAAGGAAAAAGTCATTCTCATACAACAAAACATTTACTATGTGTCATATACTGGCACCACATATTGTTTACATTAATCACTCATCTGATTTTGTTTGTATGGCAATGAGATACTAATCAAGATCAGAAGGGCTTCTGCTGCTGCTAGTAAACAATGTTTAAGCTTGTAGCTCGGCTCCAGGAAGGTTTATAGTCTTGGAAATACTTGTAAAAGCTAAGTACTGAGGATACATCATATAAAAGGCTGAATTAGATAGCTAACATTATAGTGTAATGATTCAACATACAAATCCGTGTCCCTATCAGTCAAGTCAATTAGGTGACCGTCTGAGCTTACTTGAGCCTGGTCATTGCCTTACATTTGTCTTGGAAGATGCACACATATTTTTCAAGGAAAAAAGTGTGTCTTGTAAGCCGGAAAATACGGTAAGTGAAAGTGGCAAAACCTACAGAAAAGTAGCACCATAAAGTCATTTAAAGGTAAAAAGCTACATTAACATTTGATCACTTTATTGAAATTAGTAATTGAATAACAATTTTGAAAAAAAAAGCCTAATTCATAAAATTTGGCTTTCTGAAATGACAAATGGCTTCCACCTCCATCACCATGTGTGATAGGAAAAAGAAATGATGAAGCAAAGACAAATTTTTTGTCCCTCCCCTACTACCACCATTTTTTTTTTCTATTATTAAATTAAGCCAATTTTGTAAAACTTGGTTCCTAAGTACTGTAAACTGCAGGGAAACGGTAGGTAAGGAATGTATTAAAACATTACCGACTTTATCCTTTGATGTTTGTTGGATGAGTAAATTAAGGCAAACGTAGTAACAAATAAAAATGGCAGTTGGCAAATCTGTTAGAAAAAATATAATCTCGATTTCCATCTCAAACAAGCTATTCCATTATTCCAACTGTTTTTCCGTTTTCACAGAAAGTAAGCCCCTCTAAACTAGTTTGATATCCCTGTCACTTTGTTGATGGCAAGATTATCTAATTTCAAATCTAAATTGTTTGTTTATTAGAAAATATATTCAGTTTAAATACAGGAATCACAGAAATGACTTCAAAGGGCTGCACATTTCGGCTTATACTGTTTTCCTGTTATCCAGGGTTGTTGCCAGATGGAAAGTGAAGTTAACTCTTGCAATCTTGATGTCCATTTCAATTTCATTTAAATTGTGTATGTATGCTTACATGTGCACATGTTTTTTTAATTCAATGATAGCCCTAAAAATATTTCTACAAAATTAAAAAAAAAAAAATCTTTAAAAATAATTCTGTATACCATCAAATAATTTCCAGCAAGTTCCATAAAATTCTTATAATTATCTGATATTTTTAGGGTTTGAAAAATTAATGGATTTTTTTTTGTTTCCAACTGTAAAATTACGTGCACTCTACCAAGGATCAGTATATTTTAGTGTGAATGTGTATGTATGAAGTGGGTATGTAGAAGCCCAGCAAAGAAAACTCCCTCTCCCATTAAATTCTGATATTTTCTCTTTGGCTAAAATTTGGTGAGTGGGTTTGGCAGAGAACCTTGTAGTAACTTCTTATGTGTGTGTGTTTTATTAAAAAAAAATAAAAAGTGGTCAATGTTTGAATCAACAATTTAAGATTGAGAAACTCTGAATACAGTCTCATATATATATATATATATATATATATATATATATATATATATATATATATATATAAAAAGCACCTTTGTCTCGTATTCAATGAAATGTGCATGATTATATATATATATATATATATATATATATATATATATATATATATATATATATATATTAGTTAAGGGGGACATATTCATACATTTTTATACATATTTAGTTATTATGCATCTGTGTACAGTTAATTGTATGAAAAGTATGTTTATTCATTAGTTGGAAATACAATAAATTAAAAATTTGTATGTGTATGAATATTTGTTATACATATATATATATATATATATATATATATATATATATAAAGCAAATGTAAATGGATATAGATCCGACAGAATGAAGAAAAATTTGGAAAAAACAAACCAAAAATCCTTAAATGCAATTATGTTGCATCATTTTAAAAATTTTCAGTTATCTGTTTTGGATAAGACTTGTTGTTTTTTATGTCCATCGTCTTTGTCAAATTGAACTGAATTGTATTTTAATGAATATTGTCCTGAAGAAGGTTTATTAAACTGAAACGTCAGACGTCGACATTTCATTCATTTTAAACAACATAATTGCATTTAAGGATTTTTGGTTTGTTTTTTCCAAATTTTTCTTCATATATATATATATATATATATATAAGGAGTGGGGACATTACTAAAATCAATCTGGTTCAATATTTTTCAATAGATATTTATTTTTTATGTCTACATCTAACCATTAATTTATTTCTTTTATTTAATAAATTTGGGTTATCTATATTTTGTAGTATGATAGGCTTTTCCAAAGCTGAAAGATTATATCTTTCGTCCTTATCATTATATGATTTAGTTCTTGCTGCTACCTCATACAATATATCTGGATGAACTCCTTTAGTTTCTTTTTTATCTGCCAACACTAACTGCATGCTATTATATATATATATATATATATATATATATATATATATATATATATATATATATACACACACACATTTCTCTTAGAGTATGTAGCACAGAGCCTTGCCATGTCATATGAGGATGTAATAACTTCAATGATACCTGACATTGACGCTTTCTCTATTGAAAATTTTTATTCCAGATTTCCTGGAACTTACAGGAATTAGGTCTTTTAACCATGACTTGGACTGGCTGTGGATACCTGCTTTTTGTGTTTTCTAGAATTCTCTTGCAATTATTGCTGTAGTTCAGAATGTTGTAAGAGTGGTACTACACTATATTAATCTTGCTTTATAAAATTGCTCTATTAATTTTAGGTTTCTACCCATAAATTATTAATTCTAACAGTTCCAAAAATTTGACAATGGCCATTAATGGTTTATTAGCTAAATTACTTCTTGTATTTAATTTGGGTTATCTATATTTTTAGTATGGTAGTTTTTTTCCAAAACACAAAGGTTGCATCTTTTGCCTTTATCATTATATGATTTAATTCTTGTTACAACCTCATATGATATTTGACAAGTTCTATGACCAATTATTATATCTGACCAGATGTTATGTCAGCAGTAGTCGTACTTTTAGGGTAAACTGGAAATCCAACAATTTTAAATTGTACCCATTTTTTTTTCATGTTGATGCTTTTCATTTATGTCTCTTTTGTTTATTGTTAGTCTGAAATAGTTTTTAGAAATTTTAAGAGCTTAATTTTTCTGTTTTGTAAATTTTTGTGGTTTCATATTTTAGTTAATCTTTCTTTTATAGAAGAGGGTTATTTTATTTACACATTTTGATGTTGTCAATCATCTAAAACTCTTTTGTATTTTGAAGAGGCAATAATTTGTTTAGTAGATAAAAATATTGTGTTTTATGTGTCATGTTTTTATAAGAATTTCACTTTTATACAAATGCCCTTGGGTAAGGCATGAATCTGTTTCTTCTCTCCTCATTTATGGGTTAAATAGCAAGGTAGATTGGAGGCTCTCTGGGTGGCAACTAGTCTAAGAAAAAAACATCTCTGAATTCCAAACCATGGAGAAGGAAACCACTTCACTATGTTTCTCAAGAATACTTGTCAATTTCATAGATAATAAAGAAAAGGAATATGTAGAGGTCCATGATTGCTTATGTCCTAAAGCAGGGCTGAGAAAACTTTGGCCAGAAGCTTTAAGTGGTCTGCCTGATGATTCTATGTGGTCAGCAAGTGCACACTAAACATTTTTTTTTTAAGTCCATTAAAAAAATTAATTTTTTTGTGACATGTTGCACAAAATTTCAAACAGAACAAAAAAGGGAACAAATCCTTTTAATATTTATTTTATTTTCATTAATAAAATCTGAACCAGATCCTACCTAACAGATTTGAATATGCAATCTACTTTGCATACATCAAGTAAACTGAATCCTGATAAAGAAAAACTTTCTCAGATTTCATTATTCATAATTGTGCAGCCTGTTCACAACCCCCCTCCCCCCCCAAAAAAACGTGTCTACTAAGCAAATAAATGTACAGATAACATTCACATATATGAGTGTTATTTATATTGTGAATCTTGCTTTAATTATTGTGATGTGACCCACTTTGCACAGAGCTGACAATGATATGGCCTTTCACAAAAAAGTTTATCTACCTCTTTCCTAAAGGGATTGGGGCATTTTTTTAAGTGTAGTCAGCACTTTTACCTTAATTATAATTTCATAAGTTTTTCTAAAAAATTTTTCTATAAGTTTATGAGTAGAAAGATTTTGAAAATGTAATTTTTTAATTAAAAAATATAATTGCTAATATTTTTGTTTGGTAAAAAATAGTAGTTACATTTCTAATATTTTTTGCAGCCATCAAACATTTTCTTTTCAATGGAAGATGTTATCAAAGTTGGTGATTTTGGTCTTGCCACTGCTATGACAAACTTCATTGAAGCAGGAGAAGAGTCTCTCATTGAGGGAGAAGAATCTTTATTGGGATCTGCTAGTGGAACACAATACAAAAGGCACACTGGAGGAGTTGGAACAGAACTCTACATGAGTCCAGAACTGGTGAGTTGTTTTTATTTTATGAACAACCAGTCTTGTAAAATTATCCTTTATAAGTTTTATTTTATTTTTCAAAGAATCCTACAAAATTCACAACTTTCCTAAATCAGTGAATTGAATGTTATTTACAACTTCATGCTTTTATGATGTTAGTGATTCATGAAAACATGTCTGAAAATATTGTTTCAACTTCAGAAACAGTTGATAATTATTTGTAAAATCTGCTCTTGGAAGGAATGATTTGTTACTGAAAAGTGGTTCATTCTTCTTGAATTTGCTTCATTAATGAAAACCGGTTTTCCTTTGATTAAAAAAAAACTCAAAAAAGTATTGATTGGAAATTGGGATTTAGCCTGACCAATCACATTAATAAAAAAAATGTTTCAATGAGTTTGTTATAGGATTTTAATTTTTTTTCTTACAAGAAATTAGAGAATAAAAAAATAACTAAAATGAATTTCCTGTTTCTTTTCCTATGTTTTTAACATACTTTTTGGATTTTAGAAATCTTTAAATACAACAGTGATTATTTGCTTATAAGTAGAAACCAATAAAAGTCTATAGAATTTTTGTGAATCTATAATAACAGACTTTTTAGAAACTTATAATTGATACCTGATTTTTTCGAAACCCACAATTAATACTAGATTTTTATTTTTATAATTAATGCCAGATTTTATGGTGGCCATTTATGGATTTACAAATAAATTGAATGCTTCAACAAGTTTTATGTTGCTAGTTAGATAAAATTAACGCCACTCAGGAGAAAGACGCAAAATTACCAGAATAGCTGTACACAACATCTATTGGATTTAATGCAATCAAATTGTTGATAAAAGAAGAATTTATAATTCTTATGTAAACTAATAATCTAAGTTTTTTTTATTTATATTTATTTTTGATAAAGTCATTTATCATTTAGTGTAAAGAAAATTGAAACAAAATTTCTTATTTTCAAATGAAAACTCCATTCAATTAAATTGAGTACAAAAAGGGAACACTTTGTGTGAATTTTATAACTTTGGGATTTTATAAGTTAATCCTATATTAAGAGAAATTATGAGAGTTTTTTTGTTTAATTGGTATCACCCCATGCAAGGCAGTAAAGCCACTGAAACACAAGGGGTTACAGGGTGTTGAATTAGAAACAGAAACATTAATAATGAGCTAGAAGAGGAAAGGGTAATCAGGAGGACATTAGATAGCAATTTACATTGCATTTAAATTTTTGTAGACTAACAAGAACCTGCAAGGGAGTTCCACAAGCAAGAAGTGCAAGAAAAGAAGCTGTTAGCATAGAAATTACAGTTACATCTAGCCAGCTTAACTTTGAGATCTTGATGCCAGTCTAGTACTGCACTTAAATTCAAAAAGCCTAGCTACCATAGCGAAGAGCTCATCCAACCAATTACCATGAAAGTATTTATAGAAAAGAGACAGGCAACCTTACAGCTTGTTGAAAAGCAATACATTTTGATAATCCTGCCATGTAGATGAGTGTTGTGGGGGGAAACTTACTCAGGATTTACTGAGTATTCATTTTTTTTGTTTTTCTATTTCTACAGCTTGATTGCAAAGCTTACAATCAGAAAGTGGACATTTTCTCCCTGGGTATGATTCTGTTTGAGCTACTATATCCATTTAAAACAGAGTCAGAACGGCGGATGACACTCTATAAAGTGAAACAGCAAAAATATCCTAAAGATTTTAATCAATTTATTCCAGATTTCTTTGATAAAACCGTAAGTAAAAATATTTATGTTTACATTACATTCATCAGTTAACTAAGTGTATCTTAGTTGTAAATACAGTAAACTTTTATAGAATGCTCTAGAAATGAGGTCTTGTGACAAAATTGTTTTTTGTTTTAAAAATACTTTATTCATGGACACTTTTTTGTCCTTTCCCTTTCTCATATATATATATATATATAAACACACACACACACACACGCACAAAGTTGAATAGTTTCAGGCTGGTAGACAAAAATAAATATACTATTTAATAAATGAATGTAGCATCTACTCAAATGTGGGTATCCACTAAAAATAATGTTTAAATAATAAAATCTGTTGGATTAATAAATAAAAATCCATCACTTCTTTAGAAATGTGTATATATATATATATATATTAAAAAGAAGAGAAGAGAGGTGCCGCAAACGTTTTTGGTTGTAATGTGGATTTATTTAGAAAAAATATTATGCTTTGTTTTACATAATTTTACTATGACACGTGTTTCTGGTCTCATGACCGTCTTCAGGTAAAAGTGGAGATTTCTACATATTATTAAAAATAATTAATTTTTCTTCATGTTCAATGTGAAATATTCTCGATATGAGACATTCTCTGTTTATACTCGACTCCCCCGTCGAATTCGATGTATGAGGGTCAAGCAGATCAGTTCCTAGGAAACCGACAGCTCAACAACATCACATGAGATTTGATTATAGTGGTGAAGGTTTCGTGCAGGACCATCCACACTTTTTGAAGTGCTGAATTCAGAGACCTGGTGCACTATGTGCCACAAGGTTTCCAAACGACCATCCACAGGTTTTGCATTCAGAGTTTTCCTTCTCCTAGACCAGTTGCCGCTATCCATTACTCCACCATGCCTCCTCATATATACACATACACACACATTCCAGGCTGATATATATATATATATAGATAGATAGATATAAAAACATGCACTGTTTAAAATAAAAATGGGGCATCTATTTAAAATGTGTGTATTCACTGAAAATAATATTTGAAGTAATAAAAATGTTGGATTAAAAATAAATCCATTAATTCTTTATAAGTTGCTTTGTTTACATTTCGGATACTGAACTGAGCAAATATGGGCTTTCAAGAAAATTAATTTGAATGAGGAAAAATGGAACCTTACTGGGCAGTTCATGCTCTGTAGCCGAGCTATGACATGCCAGATCACACAGTGGTTTCTGTTATTAGAGCAGAAACCACTGTGTGATGTGGCATGTCATAGTCCATGTTTGTTGTGTTTTTGCTCAACTATTTATATATACAGGTCAGTGATACATTGTGGGAAGTCAATAGACCCTAGAATAATTTTAAACACAACTGTTACCATTCACCTAAAGGACCATTAGAATAATGGAATAGTGGGATATAGATTCAAACCCTGCTAGAGAGCACATTTTCTTAAGATTTCTTGAGTGCACAGGACAAGAGATGTAATACATATTGTTTAAAATAAAAACAGGGAGTCTATTTCGAATATGGGTATCCACCAAAAATAGTATTTAAGTAATGTGTGTGTGTGTGTATGTATATATATATATATATATATATATGGTTTAAAAATGACAATTGGAAAAATTTCTTAGTTCTTGCTGACACGTTTCCCCTTCTGACTTTATCAAGGCAAGCAATGAAAGCACTTGTAGCCATAGTTACATCAAATCTAAAATATAAAATAGAGATGCTCCTGCTTAAGCCTCTTTCTGAATATTGGTTATTTCCTTTTTACTAAGAGTTTGTTTTTTGTTTTCCATGTCGACATAGTTAAATTTCCCCAAATAATTCTGAAGATAAGACAAATTGATTTAAAAATGGCAATTGGAAAAAATTCTTACCAATATCCAGAAAGAGGCTTATGCAGGAGAATCTCTATTTTAAATTTTGGATTTGATGTAACTATGGCTCCAAAACATTTTGCTTTCATTGTTTGCCTTGATAAAGTTGGAAGACGAAGTGTGTTGACAAGAACTAAGAATTTTTTTCCAATTGACATTTTTAAACCAATTTGTTTTATCTTCAGAATTATTCTGGAAAATTTAGTGGACTAAGGAACAAGTAGGAAAAACTTTATAAATTTATGTTTAGCAATTTATTTAGCTCCATCAGAAAGTTTAGAAAGTCAAATAATGTGTTAATATCTAGAATAGGGAGTTTTTATTATTTACATGTGGATCATCTTTGTTGTTATCATAATGTTTTGCTTATGCCCTCTGGCCTTTGTCAGTAGTCCATGTGTAAATAATGCAGAGTTATGTTTTCCTTTTTAAATTCTATATTGTTTTGTTGTTACTGGTTGTATAGGCATCACATACATTGATACATTTGTTTGTTAGTGCCATCAAACTTGCTGAAACTGTTCTACACATCACTTACATGATTCAGATATATTTAAATTTGAAATGTAGTGTTCCAAACAATATACACTTTTGTAATTAACAAAACTTTTGGCTGTTATACTGACAACATTTAGTTCTTGATAATGATTGAAGTGGTTTAAAGCATTTAAAAAAAACAAAATCATTAATTTTGGCCAGTTTATGCACAATTTTAATATGGATGTGCAACAAATTATTTGTAATTGGAAAATACAGTGAGAAAATTAAACAGACCTTGTCTATTGAATTTAACAAAACTTGTTTATTGAATTCTTGCTTTTTTATATATATATATATATATATATACACGCACATACTATGAATGTTGTATTTAGTATGTGAGTAGACATTTCTCTTTTTTAAAAGGTGAAATTAATTATTTACACTATTTATCTGTGGTCTATTGTCCTCAATTTACCCCTGTAGATTAAATAAAGAGTTCAGTTCTGAAATCCCTGTAGGTTACCCAGATTGTCATACACCTGGTGAAAACCAGAGGACACAATGACAGAAACGTAATAACAACAAAGAGGAGGACAGCAAGCCATATATAGTATACATATTAACTCCTCATCCCAGAAATTCAGACAGTGAAATTAATGTTTACTGGCATAGATTTAGATTGAAAGTCTTCACAAAGAAAATATACTACCTAACAGGAATTGAACCTGTATTCCCTTTTTAATCAGGGAGACTGCTTTTAAGTCAAGTGTATTTTACCATTATGTCATTAGAAACCATTGCATTAAAAAGAGTATACAGGTTTAATTCCTGTCAAAAGCACATATTTTAGCTTATTAATTTCCATTTTACTGTAGGTGTTTTATTGAAATTAATAAGAAAAGCTAGATTATGTAGGTCATTAAATAACCCATGCCTTTGTGCATACATGAGAAACTATATATTACTAAGTTTATAAAAAATAAAAATTTACTGAATCAAAGAAATGAAATAGCTATTCTTTGCCATCATTGTCAAAAATTTTTCTTAAATAATATTTAAAAAAAGAAAAAAAATAGAAGCTGGTAATATACATACTTATATTTGATATGAAAAAATAATTTTAAATAATTTAAGTAATTCTATTGCATTTACTTGATTTAAAAAGAAATATAATCTATTAGTAATTAGGAGTAAAAATAGTTTAAAATTGTAGTTAAATATAACATATTCTAACCCAAACAACCCTTTTAGAAAGAATCTGTAAGTATACAAGTACAAAAAAAAAATGCCGAAAAAAGTGCCAAAAAAATTTGTCATTAATAAAAAAAAAAAAAAAACCCAGACGACATGCGTTTAACAGATGTCAGAATTCATTGAAAAATACACCCCTACACTCCCTAAACTTAACTTCTTTTTTGAACATAACTCATAATTGATACAACAATAGTTAATAAAAATGAACACGCTACCGCCCCTGTCTGAATGATTGGATTTCTCTGTATCCTTGGAAACAGGAAATTATGAATTTATATGTGCATTTTAAAACTCAGTAACTTTAAAAATAAGTTATTTCAAAATTCACTTGAAGATGAAACAGAACTAATCCTTTTAATTTACTTATACAATTACATTTGAAGTTTTTAGCTTCAGTTTTTGAAACATGGTTATTACTGCGTAGCGAAGAAACCATATTTTAAATCAGTTAATTTATAATATATAATGTTGACCCAAGCCTTGATTTGAATTGGATAGATGGAACTGCTCAGAAACTGTCGATGGTTGTGCTAACATATAAGCAAGTGTTTGTTCCAAAAATTTATTGTTTCAGATTATCCATTTTCTCCCAGAAACTGTAACTATGATCTGCTCAGCATAATTGTGGTGTAAACAACAGTGCATAGGTCTGTTTGGTTAGTCACCTGGGCAGATGGGTGTGCTTGGAAACAAACATCATTATACAGGGTGAGGCAAAAGTAGTGCATCATAGGGATCATTTATTAAAAGTATAATTACACATGAAAATTTTATTTATTCTAGTTATTTAATTGTTCTATGTGCTGTTCAAAATGTCCTTTTTCAAAACACATTACAATTCTATGCCTGCATGATTCATCAACACATTGGAGAGTTTCCTCTGTTATTTTACTGTATTCATATATAATTTTTTCTTTAAGTTCCTCAATATTTATTCAGTGCGTCTGACAAACAACTGATTTCAAATGGCCTCACAAAAAAAATTCAAAATGAGGTCTGGTGACCTTGATGACCACTCAACAGGGACTATCAAAACAAATTAAAAATTTAAAACATGATTAATTTATTAATCCTTATAGTGTGTGACTTTTGCCTCATCCTGTATATATAAAGCTTAATAGGGTGCAATCTCACAATGTCAAGCATCCTTTGACAAAATCTCTATAGTGATTTTAGATTTTAAGACTAACTTGCTTTTATACTGAGATATTTATATGGAATTAATGTGTTTTTTTTTTTATGTACTTAAGTCAGTGTTATATTTGTTATTGCCAATTCAACTAATTGTGGGAATAGAAAATTAAAAAGGACTCTTTCATTAATATTGCAATGAGGAATATATCAGATATTCAAGGTTTACATTTATGTTAAATGTCAAAATCTTACATTTGTTAATTATGAGTGTTTTAAAAGAAACATCTAAATGTTGAAATATAAATGTCATCTTTGCATAGAGAACAATGAAAGTTGTACCAAATGAAGTAAAAAAAAAATTAGTTGCTTAAATAAAACTAATTATAGATATTTACATAATTCATATTGTTTTGTTGCATCTGAAAATATATATTTGTTAAATATTTTTTAGAGTTCAACTTGTTCAGGCAGTTATTTAAAAGAGGATCTACACATTTTAACTTAACTTGTGCTATAAAGGAAATAATAATAATAATAATAAAGGAAAATAAATTAAAACAATTCATGATAAGGATAATTAGTAAGTAGAAAAAGAAAGAAAGAATAATAAAATAATTTTTTTTTGTTAATCATTTCACCCCAAGCAAGGCAATAAAGCCACTAAAATGCAATGGGTTACTGAGTGTAAAAGAATATGACTAAAAAATACACTATTAAGGAGAGACAACAATAAAAGAACAGGAATTAATAAGATAGAAGATAACGATTGAGGTTGCATTTATATTTTTGAAGATCAAAGTTGACTTGGAAGCAAGAGGCCAGAAGAGAATTCCACAAGTGAGAAATGCAAGAGAAGAAATTGTTAATATAGAATTTACGGTTATACCTAGCCATTTCAACTGTAAAATGATAGGACCTTACCGCCATTCTATTACTGTACTTAAATTCATAAAGTCTGGGTCCCAAAGAAGAAAGCTCCTCAGAACAATTACCATGAAAGTATTTATAGAAAAGGCACAGGAAAAATATGTTAAAGGAGTAGAAAAGTGGCTGAAGCCAAGAAACCAGGTCAGGACCAACAACATTGCAGATTCTTCTTTGGATTTGATCAAGAATCTCTAAATATATATATACAGGAACACCAGACCAGATGTAGCTGCAATATTCAAAGCAAAGATGAATAATAGACTTATGAATATGTAAGATAGATTCTGGTGAGAAAAATTGTCTAGCAGGACACATTGAACCAACTTTCCTAGCAGCAGACCTAGCAATTGATTCAATATAATCTTTCCACTTCATGTCAGCAGAAAATATTAGCCCAAGAAGGTGCAACAAGTCACTCTCCTGGAGGTTAGCATCAGCTATGCTGATGGAAGGCAAAAAGGGTTCTCTTAGGCGATTAAAAGAGAGCAGTTTTATTTTGAAGGAGTTAAAATTAACAAGTTATTCCTTGCATCAGTTAACAACAAATTGTAGGTCATTTTTTTAGATCATCTGCCAAATTGACTGTATCAAACCAATTAGACTTACTATTAAGACAGGAGTAAATAGTTCTGTCATAAGCGTAGATATCAAGTTGAGAACTGATGTCAAAAGACCTAGAAGAGTGGCCATTCAAGATCACTTTCATTTTGTGATTTGATAAGAAAGACTGAATTGATTAAAGAATTTGCTTAAAAGATGCAGCCTTTTATTCTACACCACAGAAAGACAAAGAGTGTAACTAACTCTAAGGGAAATCAAGGGACTTGCACTTTGAGTACACTCACACATAATTATAAGTGTATGTATCTTAAATAATTTTATTCTACATCATCTTCAGTGAGTGGGTTGTTTTGTCATAAACCAAAAGCAAAACACCAAAACATATCCTCCATGAACTCACATCTTTGCCACTATCGCTATGATCTGTTGGGGAAATACTGAATTTAACTTAAATTTGTTTTAATTATTTTCTTTTCAGATTGACTTGCTCAATAGACTTCTATCTTCAGATCCAGATGAACGGCCAAGTGCCAGTGAGATTTTGGACAGTGATCTCATGACAGACTTTGCTCATAGCAAAGTGCCTCGTAGATTTCGTAATCGGACTTTTTCAAGCAGCAGTAGTGGGGCACAACACTGAGACAGAATCAACTAAAAATGGTAAACAGGTTTTTGGCACAATTCTAAGAGAAATGAATTGTGTGGAAAATGACTTTTATAAATCAGTACCACACATTTTTTTTACTATATGTGTATATACACAAAAACAAAAATATTACTAAACTTTATTGAAATGAAAAGAAAAAAAAAAAAAAAAAATCCATCATATTAAATTGGGTCCAACCAAACGTTTAAGTATGGAAAAATATTTTATTTTTTTTAATTTTTTTTTTTTTTTTTTTTTTTTTTTTTGCACAAAAATACATTTTCTCTTTACTTTGAATACGAGGGATGTACGTAAAGATTTAAAAAATCTTTTTCTTGCAAACATTTTTTAAAATATATTTTCTCATATTTTAATTTTTTTTGTTTTCTATATTTCTTTTTCTTTTTTGGTAAAAAAAAAAAAAAATGGATTCTATTGTACATAAAATTTATGGCAAATGGATCAAATTTTAAGAGGAGAAAAAATTTATCTGCCTATGTTAGAAAAAAAAAGTTGGTAAATTTAATTTTTGTAAGGTTTTTGTGTTTTGAATTACTTTCAAAATTCATAAGCCTTCCAATTTACATGCTTTAATTGCAAATTTTGACTCTCACTTGAAAGAGAGTGTTATATTTTGTCATGTCCTCTGTATATATTAATCGAAATTAGCATAATGCCTTTTGCATAGATTGAAATATTTTCATCTAAACAGCACAATTATGAAGCATGGTATGGAAACAATTTAAAATAGAAAAAAAATTAATGTCTGAATTTCTGGGATAAGACGTTATCATTATTTACACTACTTACATGCAGACTATTATCCTCATTTTTGTTGCTAACACAACGTTTCAGTTGTTGTGCTGTCCAGACTTCATCAGTGTTTATCTGTAAAGAAACTTCTGATTATTGATTCAGGTAACCACAGGGAATTCTGAACAGAACTCATCAATCTATGGGGGTAGATTGTTCTCGTTCCACTGTGCATCTCTAAGGATATCTTATCTAGTTCTTATTTTTAGTACTGCTCAGCTATTGCTTGCTCTAGCCTAGCGGATTAAAACTTTCGTTTGTAAATTTGTGAGTTCAGTTCCTGGGCAGGGCAGTGTATACTTGGACTCTGCTGAAAAAGGGTGACCAGTAACTGAGCAGTACTAAAAATAAGAACTAGACAAGATACCCCCAGACATGGGCAGTGAAATGGGAACAGTCTACCCCAACAGTAGGGGTAACATTTATTATTAACATAATAAAGGGTTCAGTTTGAAATTCCCTGTAAGTTATCTGGATCAATATACACCTGATAAAGGTTGGAGATCATAATGATTGAAACATTCTGATAACAACAAAGATAGGGACAATAGTTTGCATGTAAATAACGTTTTAAATAAACCAATCTATTAAAAAATTAACTTTAGCTTTCAAATTTTGAGGGTCTTGAGTTATTGTCCAAATTCCTTTATTAATAAATCTCTTGAAACCTCTTTAATAAGAAATTCTGAAATATAGCCTGATATATTACCTAGCTTTAATGTTTACTTTCTACTCTAACCGGGTCAAAAAGCATTGTCTATTTATCATGAGAAGTTCTTCAGAAACAAAAATTTACCTCTTCTAATTAAAGCAAACAACATCCATAAATTTTGCTATTCGTCTCTTCAAGAAACATCTTTAAAAAAAATAATTACTTATTTATATTGTTAAAGGTTTATTAGAAATATTCAAAAGTGCCCTTAATATAGTGAATGAATTTTTTTTAAACTTTGAAAGGATAAGAAAAATTACATTTCTTTTAATATTGTTATTTTATATCAGCTTCTCTTTCAATTAGAATTTAATTTATTCTTTGTTATTTTTGTCTATTTTAGTGTTCATTTATACTTTGTGGCTTTAATATCTGAGTTTTAAGAAATCATTTGCTTAATGAAATTTTTATGCAAGCAATATTTCAACTCTGGTCAAATGAAACTTCATATTTTATTTTTGTTTACTCCACTCCTGTTCAAAGTCCCCAAAAATTAGCCTTTAATTTTTTTATTTAAAATACACACACTTTGTTGCAGCTTGGACCATCCAAGTCTGAAAATAAAGTATTTTATTTTTATTTTGCCTATTTTCAAAACTTGTATGATTGTATACAAATGTGCAGTTGCAATAAAATTTTTATTATACTGCTAAAATATAAGAAATCCATCATTTTGATCCAAATTATGTCCATCCATTTTTCTCCCCCTTAACTTTGAACATAATTCTACAATTTAACTCTTTTTTTATTTCTTTAATTTAAAGACTGTAAAGAAACTTCTGATTAGAAACAATATTGAATATTATTGTGTGTGTGTGTGTGTGTGTGTGTGGTTTTTTCTTTTCCAACTTCAATTAAGTTTGTTGTAGCCGTGACATAACCAAAATAACCCTGATATTTGGCTGTGACTGGAAAAAATTTGTTGCGGGAAAATTTGTCAAGGAATTGAAAAATTTAATCATTTAGTATTTGTTTTTCTGTCACTAGCTGGTAACTGATATTTAAATTCCTGTTGAGTCTTTTTATGTTGAAAATGAACTGGAAAAATAAACTGTGATAAATATCAATAAAAATAATTTTGATTAAATTCACAATTTTTTAACAGATATGTAAGGTTATTGAATGTCTACCAAAATGTTTAAGTCCAGCAAATTACTGGAGTTTAATTTGTTTAAAGGTGAGCAGATTTTTGTAAACAAAAGTGTTCAATATTAAAGAAAATAGAGCAACAATAGTTAATAGATAAAGAAAATTTCAAAAGACATCTTTCCAATTTCGAGTTTTGTAGATACACTATTGTTAAGGTCAGATAAATCTTTAACAAATATATTTATATATGCTCCATAAAAATGCTAATCTTTGACTTCAAATAAATTTCAAACTTGTTCCATATTAAAAATGTTATAGCGTAATAACATTTAAAAGTTAAAAATATTAAAACATTACAACAGTCAAATTTATTTGATTTTATATTTTCACAGTTGTTTTCATTGATTGATTTAAAATTTTCCCAATCATGAAACGTATTAAAATCTTAGTAAAATAAACATTTTGTATTTTTTTTAGCAGTTAAGTGTTGTCACATTATAACATTTTCAGTATAGAACAAATTTTAAATTTGTTTGAAATCAATGATTTATTTTCTTATGTAGCATATATAAATATGATATCTATTAATGAATTCAGTAGATTTATGATTTGACAAGTGGTGTATCTGTGAAACTAGAAATTGAAAAGACAAGTCTTTTGAATTTTTCTTTATGAACTGTTTTGTCAAACAAAAAAATATTGATATGAAATTTTCAAATATTTGCTATTTTAGATAGGCAATTTAAAAAAGATTTAAACATCCGAAGAAACGGGATATTTTTACCAGAATTACTGAAATATTTGCTGATTAGTGATTTTGTTGATTACAGACTGAACATAGTATCACCCTTAAATATGGATGATAATATCTCCTGTTTATCTTTGTATCATAAAACATTTGTGATGAAATTTTAAGTTCAAATTAACATAATGATCTTTTAAGGTCTAGAAACTAAAAATAAGTTGAATATGTGGCCCTTCTGCCAAAAACAATTTCTTGTTACAAATAATTCGCAACAATTTTTTGTATAACTATATTTAGTTAGGAAATTGCAAACATTCCTTGAAATTAAGTTACTTTATTTTTATCTCCCTGACAAAAAATCTAAACTAAATATTAATATTGGTGTTGCATTTCATTATTTCCAATTGGGCATTAGAAAACATACATTGCTTTACAACATTGGCTCTGCTGACTAGTGTTTAATTTGGCAGGAAGTATTATCACTGTCATCAGTTGTATATAGGTGCTATCTCTAGCTAAAGAGCTCTTTCAAATGCTATATTTAGCAAGTCTCCTATTCTTAGACTTTGGAAATGAAGTGTATGCTTTGTAGGTCAAAATAATTGAGCTAAATCTGCCTTGTGACTGAAATGGTTGCATCTTTTCCCACCAATATCAGACAAGTTGAAATGTTTTTCACACTTTGTGGATTTCTACTTTTACTTATCAATATCCCAATGCTTCTCTCATGATAAGCTTAATAAATATCTTTAAGCATTGAGTTATACCCATTCTGAGATGGTTTCATCTTTCCCACCAGTATCAGATGAGTTGAAATACTTACTTTTAAGAGAAGAATACTTTCCATGTTTAGTTGATTGCTATAACACACTCTTTCTACTTATCAATATACCAATGCTTCTTTCATAAGCTTAGTAAATATCTTTAAGCATTGAGCTATACACTTTATTGATCTATATTTCTTTTGTAAGATATGTATTTCTTGGGTGTTCAGCTGAGTGAAATTAAGGTCTTTTTAACTCCTTTCTTGATACTATCTATAGCTTTTATTAAGTAAAATAGTTGGCTGAAATACATGCTTAAATAAGGTCATCTAAAACTGCTTGTTCAGTGTAGTTTGTCTATTTATCTACTTAAAAAAACTTAAATGATATGGCTTTTATAACTACAGGGTGATCCACAAAAACCAGGAAATTTGGTACAGTTTATTTAATTGTTGAAATGTTTGTTATGGTTATTTGAAACAAAAGCAAAAGATAGAAATTTAGTAGCTTAAAACAAAAACACAAATGTTAGATGTGGTGTTCAAACTAAAGAACTCTGGCAAAATTTCTTGACATTTTTTCAGTCCCCAACTTGGATGTTTTTTCTTAAAGAGAAAAAAAATCAACTTGTGTTGAAAATTTGATAACTGCAGCATCCTGGAACAATAAATGGTTAAAAAATTTTGTCAGTTGACTTTTTTGTTCATTCATATAATAAAATATATAGTTAGTCTTTTTTATGTTAATTTTTTTTTTTATATAGTAAATGTAAAATTTCCTGTTTTTTTTTATGGGTCACCCTGTAATTACAGGAGGTATAAGCTTTTGAACGTTGTATTAAATTTTATTGCTAAGTATAAGGTTGAATTTG